AGGACACAAAGGAAAATGAGACACGGTCCCTGTTTGCCCAGTGAGGGAATGGACAGGCACCAGCAGACCTCCAAGCGGTGTGATGAGAGCAGGCTAAGGATTACTCGGGGCACTTCGGAATCCCAGACATCTGAGGTACCAACCTTCTGTTGGGTGCTGATGTGCTGGGCACTGAACTAGAAGCTTCTGTATTATCTAATTTACATTCATAACAGCCTGTGGGACTGTGTAAAGAGCGGGTAACAGGAGAACTCTATAGAGTCTTAGATCTAGGTTTAAGATTTGACATGAGTGTCTCTGTTTCCCTGCGTTGTGACCCTGAGCTGGGAGCTTCTCGAATTTAAAGCCTCAGTGACTTACTTTAAATGGGGATACCTATCTCATAGGCTGGTTGTTAGGATTCCGTGAGATACTGTAACATCATTTAGTCTAGTCCTAGCACTTAGTAGCTGCTCGAGGCCCAGTAAATATATTTCTACATGCAGTACATTGTGTAAGTAAGGAAATTGAAGCCCACTAGGTACACCCCCTAGGTAAGACATGAACAGCAGGTCCTGCGCTATTTCATTCATCCTTATAACCCCAGCACCCAGCACATATGCTGAGGAAAGAGTTGTTGAATGAACAAATGGAAAGTTAAATAATTTGCCAGGGTTGAACAAGCCACTACATGGTAGAGCCAGAGTGCCAGTCCACTCCTAACTCTACCTGGAGCTCCTACCAGCTCATCCAGGGACCCCTGACCATAGAGTTTGTTTGGGACTATGGGGTCTCCATGGTAGGTTTATTAGACTGCTTAGGCCACTATAACAAAATACTACAGGCTGGGTGGCTCATTAAACAACAGAAATTCATTTCTCACAGTTCTGGAGGCTGGAAAGCTCAATACCAAGGTGCCAGCTGAATCAATTTTTGGCAAGAGCTCTCTACCTGGCTTGTAGACAGTCACCTGCTTGCTATGTCCTTACATGGTGGAGAGAGCAAGCACTCTGGTGTCTTTTTTTTCTTAATTTTTATGTATTCATTTTTATTTTTTTACCTTACCTTTTAGTCTCCTTATACACCCCTTCCCTCAGCAGTCACCACACTGTTGTCCATGTCCTTGAGTCCTTTTCCCTTTTTGCTCAATCCTTTCACCCCCGAACCTCCTCCTCGACTAGCTGTCATCCTGCTCTCCATCTATGAGTCTCTGCTCATTTTCCTTGTTCAGTTCATTAGATTCTACATATGAGTGAAATCATGTGGTATTTGTCTTTCTCTGACTGGCTTGTTTCATTTAGCATGATGTTCTCCAGGGCCATACATACTGTCTCAAAGGGTAAAATTTTCTTCTTTCTTATGGCCGAGCAGTATTCCATTGTGTCATTGTCCCATAGTTGTTTTATCCACTCATCTGTTGATGGGCACTTGGGCTGCTTCCATGTCGCAGCAATTGCAAATTATGCTGCAGTGAATATAGAGGTACTTATGTTCTTTCGAATTAGTGTTTGGGGTTCTTTCAGATATATTCCAGAAGTGGGATGGCTGAGTCGAAAGATCCAGTTTTTATTTTTTTGAGGTATCTCTCCATACTGCTTTCCACAGTGGCTGCAGTAATCTGCATTCCCACCAAAAGCATTACTAAAAGTGTTTTCCTTTCTCCACGTCCTCACCAGCATTTGTTGTTTGTCGATTTACTGATAATAGCCATTCTAACAGGTGTGTGATGATATCTCATTGTGGTTTTAATTTGGGTTGTCTTTTCATTTTGTTGATGATTTCCTTTGATGTGCAAAAACTTTAGTTTGATGCAGTCCCATTTGTTTATTTTTTCTTTTGTTTCCCTTCCCTGGGGAGATAGATAAGATAAAAAAACTGCTACAAGCAATGTCTGAGATTTTGCTGCCTATGTTTTCTTCTAGGGTTTTTATGGTTTTGAGTCTAACATTTAAGTCTTTGATCCATTTTGAGTTTATTCTTGTGTGTGGTGTGAGAAGGTGATCTAGTTTCATTTTTCTGCACGTATCTATCCAGTTTTCCCAACACCATTTATTGAATAATCTATCTTTACCCCATTGTATGTGCTTGCTTCCTCTCTCAAATATTAATTGACTGTAAAGGTGTGCGTTTACAGTTGACATACAATATTATATTAAGTGTGGATGTACAACCCTATGATTAGACATTTATATTAACTTAGGAAGTGATCACCTCAATAAATCTAGTAACCCTCTGACACCATACAAAGTTACTACAATATTATTGACTATCCCTATGCTGTACTTTACATCCTTATGACTATTCTGTAATTACCTGGTGTCCCTCATAAGGACACTAATTCTGTTGGATCAGGGTCCCACCTGAAATGATCTCATTTAACTTTAATTACTCTCATATAGGCTCTGTCTCCAAATACAGTGACATTGGGGGGTTACAGCTTTAACTTAGGGATTTCGTGGGGACAGAATTCAGCCCCAAGCAGACCCGAACGGCCTTGTCTTTCCCATAGGCACCCTCTGTGAATGCTATGACGAGCTGGGCAATCGCTACCAGCTGCCCATCTACTGCCTGTCACCGCCCGTGAACCTGCTGCTGGAGCACACTGAGGAGGAGAGCGTGGAGCCCCCAGAGCCCACGCCCAGCGTGCGCCGCGAGTTCCCACTGAAGGTGCGCCTCTCCACAGGCAAGGACGTGAGGCTCAACGCCAGCCTGCCCGACACAGTGGGGCAGCTCAAGAGGCAGCTGCACGCCCAGGAGGGCATCGAGCCGTCCTGGCAGCGATGGTTCTTCTCTGGGAAGCTGCTCACAGACCGCACACGGCTCCAGGAAACCAAGATCCAGAAAGATTTTGTCATCCAGGTTATCATCAACCAGCCCCCACTGCCCCAGGACTGAGGAGCCCACAAACCCCTGGGAAGAAAGGCCAGGGAGGGCCTCTGCGGGGCTGAGAGGCCCCCAGGCTGGAGCGCCAGGCCCCCCACCCTTCTGCTGCCTTTGAGTGCTGATATTTTCTTCAGGGGCGCCTCCCTGCTGTATGGCTGCTGGGCGAGCCGCAAAGGGACACTGTGGGCCGCAGTGCCCAGCACCCAGGAAGCAGTGCTGCCACACAGGCCTTGCCAACCTTGTCAGAGAAAAGGAAAACTGGGGCCCTTCACCCTGCCTCTCTCCCATGGCAGGTTCGAGCCATGAGGGCCCGCCAGGAGGTCCCTGAAGCCCAGATCCGTCATCTGGTGCTGCCAGCTGTGCTCACTCCGGTTTTCTGCTCAGGGTCTGAAGCAGCTGCTGTCTCCCTCCCCTGCCCTCACCTCCTGACTCTGCCCTGGGCATAGTGCCAGTCCCTAGAGGGGAGGGGACTGCGTGTGAGCCCCAGGGGGAGGGTGCCCAAGGCCAGCTTCTGTCTCTCCTGCCCACAGCACAATTGGCAGAGATGAGGCGGGGGACTGGACAGCTGGGCTGCTGTGGCAGGGGCCTGCACAGGGCCACCCCCTGGCTGTAATCCAAGCGGCGGGGGGTCTGCAGCCAGTCATGGCCCCCCAGCAGGTCCCTGTGTACAGACATATCTGCATATTTATCAATAAAGCCTTTTGCTCCTTCTCTCTTGTCTGGCTTTGACTTCAGGCTCCTCTCAGCTCTGTGGAGCCGCGGGAGCCGGTTCTGATGTGGGAGCAGGTGGGTGCATGGCTTCCCCAGCTGCTCTGGTTGCAGCGGAGAGTACAGTGGAGCAAGCCTCGAACTGCTAGTGCTGGGCTCTGTGTTCTCATGGGTCCTCAGGGAAAACCACTTAACCTCCGAACCCACTCTGCGTATTTATAAAGTGGATGTGATGCCCCCTGCCCTGCCTCCTCCCTCTCAGTTGCTGGGAGGATGTGAAGGCAGCATCTCAGAAAGGTGGCGTTAGTTACCTGCTGGTCTGATCCTGCAACAGCAGAGTGCTGGCTTCCGGCTCCAGTCCCTGAGCCAGGCCCTCAGGACTGAGATGTGTGTGCAAATCCTGAGGCGCCCTTGGTAATGTTAAAGCAAAACCTCTGACAAATTTAGAGCATGTGTTCGCTTGCTCAGAGAAAAAAAAAAAAAGCTGTTCCTGTGTTTCCTTAGGGAAAACTGTGCACATAGCAGAGAGAGGAGTCTTAGATACGGTGGTTCAGCTAAAGGCAGGCCACGTGAGCGCTGCAGAACCACAGACCTGTGGTGGCGGTGGTTCACTGGCAGGTTACGCAAGGGTCATGGTGACCCAGGGCTGGCTCCCACACCAGGTGTGGGGCTGAACAAGTTCAGGTCTGCTTCTCCAGTTGGGATTGTTTTTCTTTCTCAGCATGGCTGGTCCCTGGTCAGGATGGCTTGACAGGGAAACAGGAAAAAAGGACCATCCTTGGGAGCCGGAGTCATCATGTGGGCTTGGCACTGCACTCTGGCCCTTCCACTGGTTTCCTGAGACCCTTCTTGAAGCAAGACCCTGTACCTCCCGCAGAGGCCCCCGGAAGCAGACAGGTGGATGGGTTTGTCAGGGTCTGAAGGACATAGAGCCAAATGCAGGAGAGCTTTGCTAGGGGGCACTGTGGGATCCCAGAGAGGGAAATGCCTGCCTGAGCTGTGGGCAAAGGGAGGCAGCTGACCTTACCCCCGCCAACCACCCTGGCACTCTGGCCCAGATGAAACAGCCTGTCCCTTCCCAGAGCCAGCAGGGCTTGTTCACAGGACAGCCTGGGGACAGAGGGACTGTCTTGGGTCCCCTTATTAGCACTGGCTGGGTGGAGTCCAGGCATCCAGCAGATGGCGCTGCCATCAGGGCTAGGGGCAGCCAGCAGGTCCTTCGTGCAGCCCAGCTGCCCTGGCTAAGCACCAGCTGGGCCCAAACACTCAAGACAGAGGCTGGGCAGGTTTCTCCATGTAGCCCCTGCTCTCGGGGTGCTGTGCACTCTGGCTCCAATAGGCCAGGGGTTGGGGGCAACTGTCCTTGCCTCCCCCTGCTCCCTGGGGCTGCCCGGGGTGAAGGTGACAGGTGGGGGAGGCAGGTGGAGAATCGAGCCAGTGAGCTCATGGCAAAGGCGCCCAGCAGGGCGGGGGTGGGTGCCCTGGTCTATAAAGCCCCCGTGGCTCTTGGGCCTGCCGAAGCGGGTTATGGACGGCACCATGGAGGGCTCCGAGGCGGTGCAGAGGGCCACGGCGCTAATTGAGCAGCGACTGGCGCAGGAGGAGGAGAATGAGGTATGGGCAGGGGTGTGGGTGCCCAAGGCGGGTCTGAGGAGATCCAGCTCTGCTGTCAAGGGAAGGAAGAGGCTGGCTGTCACACCTGTGGTGGGAAGGACAGGTGGCCTCAGGGCTCCATTCCAGCCACAGGGTGCTCCTGGTGGAGAGGATGGTTGCTGGCAGTGGGAAGCTGAGGCATCAGCCCCAAGAATGGAGGGACAGTGGGGGGGCGGGCGGTGAGCCAAGCTGGGCTCCCCGAGACCCTGCCCATGCACCTGGGCCTTGAGACACACCCAGCTGCACAGAGTAAAACAGCTAGGGAGCTGCCTGGGAATGTGGGTCCCTGAGATCCCCCAGTTTTTGGGTGGGAAACCGGGACAGGGGAAACTCGTGTTTGGTCACTGAAGAAGAATAAAGACTGGGAGCAGAGGGAGAAAGGAAGGGGTGCTGGGAAAGGAAGCCTGGGTTTCCCCGGGACTGCCAGCCACACTGGGAGAGGCCTTTGGAGCGTGGGGCTCTGGGCAGGGGCGTTTTCTCTGGAATAAAGAAATGGAGGAGAAGCACGCAAGTTTGTCCTGCTCTTCATTTAATGCATACTTGACCTAGAGTCTGCTCTGCCAAGGGCCCAGTGCTGTGAGGAATGAGAGGACCAGGAAGGCCAGCCCCTGCCTCCTTTTTACCAACCTGCATTCACTCTAGCCAACATCTGCCGGGTGCATAGGCATCTAAGAAACAAAGCAGAGTGAGGAAACAGCGCAACAGCGGTGTTTAATCGGAAGTGAGGGAGCACAAAGGGTGGGTGAATCCTGCTGACAGGGAGCCCTCAAGGACTTCTCTGTGGATAGGGTGGCATTTGAGCTGGGCCTTCGAGAATGGTGAGTGGAGATTAGGAGTGAGGAGGGTATTCCAGGCTGTGGAAAAGACAAGTGTTAAAGTTTGGGTGAGTGAAGCACGACTGTTAGGAGAAAGTCTGGTTGGAAGGGCTAAGGCTGGGAAGGGAGGCAGGACAAAAGCCGGAGAGGGCCATGTTAAAGATATGCATCCTGTGGGCAATGGGGGCCACTAAACGTGGCCGAGGGAGGGAGGATGGAGCCCTCTGACCAATTTTAGGAAGGCAGCTCTGATAGTCCTGAGGAGGACTTATTGGAGGGAGAAAGACTGGCCCTAACAGGAATGGGAAGGAGAAGATGAATCAGCTTAGAGGTAGACTCCATTCAAAAAACAGAAGAGGGTCTGAACGGGGTGGGAAGAGGGAAGGAGCAGACCTGCAGCAGAAGAAGAGATGAGGCGGGGCGGGGGGTGGCAGGGGGAGGCAGGCCTGCAGGGAAAGAGGCTGGACCGAGCCTGCGGAATCTTGGCCTGGGCGTCCCTGGATGTCCAGGAATGCCACTTTTCACTCCCCCAAGGGCATGTCCATCAGTGCTGGGCAGGTGAATCATGCCGCTGTGACATTTTTGGAGTGCTGGACACAGAGACCTTTAGCAAGGGGATATAGAGCAGTCCTCATCCATTCATTCACACAACAAATATAGCAGCAGGGCTCCCAGGGCTCCCAGGGCTCCGGGGCCACCGAGCCAGCCTTCCCCTGGAGGACAGACCAGCACCGGGCACTGTGCTACGCATTGTACAGGCATTCTCCTGCTCGATCTGTACATCCATCTGTAAAGTCAGGTGGAAGGTGTGTTGTGTTTTACCAACTAGCAGCTGATGCAATAAGCATTTACTGAGCACCGCCTGTATGCCAGCCCACAAAGACAAACCTGGAGGCCATAGAGTCTGGGTAAGACGTGGATGGGCATTAGAGTCCCCAGTTGTTCCCACCAGCCCCAAGCCCAGCAGGGTCCTCAGAAGAAAGCCTCTGTCCAGCCTGTGCCTTCTTCTTGGGGTAGCAGGGGAAAGATGATGCTAGACACCAGCCTAGGGAATGAGGTTCTGTTGTGAAGCACTTACCGGGTCAGGTCATCACTGAGGACTAAGGGTTGGGCAGAGATGGTGAGCCCACCTGCAACCATCCATTCACTCATTCATTTATTCTCCAGACAGTCACTGAGCGCCTCCCGTGTGTGCGGCCCTGTCACAGGTGCGGGGGATACCAAGATGATTAAAATCCAAGCCCACCCTCTGGCTGCTCCACAAGGAGCCCAGCCAGGGTCCCACACGCAGTAGTAGCTGCAGCCCTAGGTTATTACTTGTCCCTGAGAGAAGACGCAGTGTTTCAGGCGGGGCCAGCACTGGGAGTCTTCAAACCGTTTCAGCCCAGCGTGGAAGGGAGAAGCCAGTGGACAACAGGGCCTCCAAAATAAAGACCTGGGAAATCAGTTCCCAAAACAAACCCTTGAAAAGTATGACCCTGGAGCTCAGCAGGAAATGCTGAAGAGTCAGCGGAGGGCTCTGTGAGGGCAGCCAGGCCTCCCCAGCTGCCATCTCAGTCAGCGCCCTCCAACCTGGCGAATGTTCCGGTCGCACTGGAACTTCTGAGGTGGGCACGCTAGCGCTTCACAAAGGGTGGTTTCCTTTAGAAGACAGAAGGAGGAGGTAGTCCGGCCAAGTCAGAGCTACACAGGGAGAGGAGAATTGAAGGAGTTCCACCTGTAGGTTTACAATGAGAATAAGATTCATAGAGTCCACTTCAGGCTGAAAGCTGGTGACTTCTCACTCCCACCTCTTAGGTTCCCTGAGAACAAGAGCTTCTATGTGTTAGGATTTCACGGATTAGTGAAACCTGAGGGGGGAAAAAAATTGGTATCTGACATCGATTTGCAAATGTTTCCATTCCCAAGTAAGCCATTTAAAAAAAAACAACTATTCTCTTAGCACAGTTATTTCATCAAAGTAAATTTTTAAGGTCAAAAAATACTTTTTAATTATCTTGGTGCTTCAGAAAGTGAATATATGTAATTTCATGAAAACTCATTCCAGTAGCGTTTAACTTTGTTTTGCTGTGGACTCCGGGACATCAGTGGGCTGCTGTTTGAGCTGGAGTTGGGGTTGCAGTTGAGGCAGGGATCTGAAACTTGCCCCGCTTTGGCGGGTCTCTCCAGAAGCCCTGCTCTGGCCAGGGTGCCCCCACTCCAGGACCAGAAGTGGGGCAGAGGGAGGGCACTGAGACCACACAGAAGGTCCCTGGAGCTGTCCTTGCAGCGGCTGGAGGAGAGGCTACCTGCCTCCACAGGCTCTGCAGACAGACCCTGGAGCGCATCCTCTCCTTGGCTTATCAGAAACTCCGGCGAACCGCCCAGCAGATGCTGCCCATGGACATGCTGGTGCTGGAGGATGAGAAGCACCATGGGGCAGCTCCGAGCCTGGCCTTACAGAAGGTTAAGGTAAGCGGCAGGAGAATCCCATGGCGGTGCTCAGGGGCAGGCCAGGCAGCTGTGGCCTTGCTCCGCCCATTGTGGTCCTTGCCCCAGCAGCTCAGCACCCCCGGAACCATATTAGCAATGCAGCATGTTTGTTAATTCCCACCCTGACCTGAGCCACCTGGGTCCTGGTCTCATCTGCTTTTCCTAGGCCCCGGGGAAAGGAGAGCTGGATTTAGATTCTTCCCCTCTCGAACGTTCTCCCATCAGCCCCTCCAGCTTAGCTCAGTGGTCCCCCAGTCCCCACTGTAGGGGTTGATGGGCCATGCCCACGCAGGGCCAAGAGCGTGTGCGCAAGACATCCTTAGACCTGCGGCGGGAGATCATTGACGTGGGTGGGATCCAGAACCTCATCGAGCTGCGGAAGAAACGGAAGCAGAAGAAGCGGGCCGCCGCCCTCGCTGCCCAGGAGCCGCCTCCAGAGCCCGAGGAGATAGTAAGCGTCCTGGGAGAACACCTGGGTGGGCAGAGGAGCCCTGGAGGGCCTGGATCACTGCGTGGCGCCCCTCCCTGATGGCACTTACGCCCTCCAGACTGGCCCTGTGGAGGAGGAGACATTCCTGAAAGCTGCGGTGGAAGGGAAAATGAAGGTCATTGAGAAGTTTCTGGCTGACGGGGGTTCCCCGGACACCTGCGATCAGGTGATGTTCTCACTGACCCTTTCACACCTGCCCACCTCCCTTTCAGAGTTGCCTGCCCATCCCCCACCCCCACCCCCGTGAGTGGGCCTGTGTGACAACAGGCGCTGAGTGTCCTTTGGGAGGGGTGCCTTCGGAAGATTTGAGGTGCCTCCTTCCCTGCACAAGAATTTGTCTAAATCCTTAAACCCTTTCAATGTGAACCCCATCCAGAGTACCAGGTGTCACGTGGTTTTTTAGGGAAGAAAGAGAATGGAATCAAATAAAAAGAGCCCAAGACCAGGAGTTTGGGGCGCGAGTTCCATCTCTGTCACTCCCTAGCTACATGACCGCTAGTTAGGCCCATCACCTCTCTGTGCCTCAGTTTCCTCCTCTGTAAAACAGCCTGCTTCCCTCAGAGGATATTATGGAGATCAAATGGAATAATAGTGCTTTGATAAGTATTTATTGCATGAATGAAAAAAACTATAAAGCACATGCCAAGATAGGATATTTTTGTGTCGTATATCATAGTCCTTTAACTTTTTTATTTTGTTGTGATAAAATATATATATCACAGACTATGCCACTGTAGCCATTTTAAATGTACAATTCAGCAGCATTGATTACATTTGTAATGCCGTGCAACCATCAGCACTATTTTCAAAATGTTTCCATCACCCATTCATTCTGGTTTTTTTTTTGGTTTCCTGGAAACATCTTTTCTCACTTTGTAGGGTGCTCTCCCGCACTCATAAACTGAGGTTAAGCAAATTAACTGGCACCCCTTTCAGCCTGTATTAATGTAGGGTTAGACTGCATGTCCTTCCCATTCTTTATACTCCAGAGTCTCAATATTCTCATTCTATCTAAGTACCTCCTCCTCCTGAGCACTGTGCCAGGTACTGGGAGTGCAAGAGAGAAAAAGACAAGGGTTAAAAGTAGCTGGGAGACTGATATTTCCAGAGACTAAAGCAGAAAGCCATTGGGAAGGGAGGAAGTCCCTCTTTTCTGCTGGGTGTACCTGACCATCCTGGCCCTGGGCCAGGCACCCAAGGGAAATAGAGTCAAGTAAGACTCAGCCGGCCCTCACACACTCTCTCACGCTGAAGCATTGTCTGGGCACCTGGGATGGCTCTGGCCTAGGGGTTTCTAGAAGATGATAGCACTTGTGCTGCATCTTGAAGGAATAGCAAGACTTCATCAAACACTCAAGGGAGGGAGGGCCAAGTGAGCATTCTGGGATAGGGAACAGCCGGTGCAAAGACCTGGCTCGATGTGCTTGGGGGCCATGAGAAGGTCGGCGTCTCGAGGGTGTAGAAGGGATCCAAGGCTGGCCTGGATAGAGTGTGAGGAGCTGGCAGAGCATGGACGATATGGAGACCCAGTGCAGGGTCCAGAACCAAGCCAGGGTAAGGCCCTGGCCTCAGCTGGTGTGAGAGATGGGCTCAGGCCTGGGGACAGAGGGCAGGCCTTGACAGTCTCTATGGGAACAGTTCCGAAGGACGGCACTGCACCGAGCCTCCCTGGAGGGTCACATGGAAATCCTGGAGAAGCTTCTGGAGAGCGGGGCCACTGTGGACTTTCAGGATCGGGTGAGCACGAGGGCAAGTCTTGTGTGGGAGGCGGGAGGTGGTCTAGACTCCATCTCTGTGACAACCTGGGACACAGAGAGGCTGCCTCAGGAGCCAGGCCCTACCTCTAGTGCATTGGATGACCTTGGGCAGGTCCCATCTCCTCCTCTGAAAATCTGGCTTGGGCTACATGGGCCCCAAGTGTTCCTATGTTCTGCTGGACCCGGTGTGCAGGCACTGAAGTGCCCCACCCTTCCCTGAGCCCCTCTCTGAGGTATCTCCCTGCCCTTTGGCTGGGGTCCTTTCCCCCAGGACACTTTCTTCCCTGAAGCTCTGCAATTAGGCTCCGTCCTTCCCTTCCAGCTGGACTGCACGGCCTTGCATTGGGCCTGCCGCGGGGGCCACTTGGAGGTGGTGAAACTCCTGCAGAGCCGAGGAGCAGACACCAATATCAGGGACAAGGTGGGGCAATATGCTTACAGACATTGGGGTAGCCGTGGGTCGGCCGGGAGAGTGGGAGGCAGAGGGCAGAAAAGCTGGGGAAGGCAGGAAGGCAGCGAATGAGTCTGGTTTCTGGAGTGGCTGCAGAGCCCAGCGATGGATTGTTTCCATCAACTGTAGGCCCTTGGAAGCCACCATCTGGGGATGGGAGCAGGAAGATCAGACAATGAGGGGAGAAGAAGAGATTCACTATCTTGGGGGCTTTGTGACCACCCAAAAGATGCAGGATTTGTTCATCCATGCAATCCTTTATCATCCTTCTAGCTTTCTATCCACCTAGCCATCCATTCACTTATTTATTCATTCACTCATCTTTTATTTATTTATTCCTTTGTATGTGACCTTGAGCAAGTGACAGCCTCTGAGCCTCTCTTGCTCACCTGTAAAATGTCTTGCAGAGTTCTTGTTTAGATTAGGCGAAAAAAAAAATGTATTCAAATTAATTATTTATTCAACATAAGGCTAATGTTTCATAAGCTTTGCCCATCACATAGTCATCTCTCAACAAATAATATCTATTATAATTATTAAAGGCAGAGCAGAGGAGTGAGCAGGTGCTCATAGCCAGGTGAGAGGGGAATCATGGAAGGCCTCCCAGAGGAGGCAGCATGTAATGCTTCAGAGTTAGGCCATTGGATAGGATGGTGAGAATCATAGCATTCCCTGCCTTTTCAGGGCTCAGGACTTGGCACTAGGATGGGGGAGGGATAATGCTAGAGCTAAGACAGGCCCCCTGCCAAAAGCACACAGTCCAGGCCCCCTCAGCCAGCATTTTCTGCTTCCTCCCTACCCAGCTGCTGAGCACCCCCCTGCATGTGGCCGTTCGAACGGGGCACGTGGAGATTGTGGAGCACTTTCTGTCCCTGGGCCTGGACATCAATGCCAAAGACAGAGTGAGTGTCTGGGTTCTCTCCTGCCCAGCCCCACCATAGGGGTGCAGGCAGCCTGAGGGCTCCCACGTGCCCGTGTGGGCCATGCTGAGTGTCACACTGGCTCTAGGAAGGGGACAGTGCCCTGCATGACGCTGTGAGGCTCAACCGCTACAAAATCATCAAACTGCTCCTCCTGCACGGGGCCGACATGATGGCCAAGAACCTGGTAAGTTCATTCCTTTCCTGGTTCAGTTACCGGCTGCACTGCCCTCCCAGGCCCTGTGCCGGGCACTCAAAGGCAACAGGGAACTAAGCAAGACGCAGCCTGCCTGCCCTTGGAGCGCTTTCACAGTGGAGAGGCAGTCTCTCTGGGGCCCTGGGGTTTTCAGGCCCATCCAGCTTTTCAATTCTCTCTATGCTTGTCTATGTCCAGAGAGCAAGTGTAGAGAAGTGGCCTGGAGGGGCAGTTACGGGGCTTCCCAAAGGCCCCCAAATAGACCAAAGTGGGTCCTAATGTCCAACCCCATGGAGGCCAAAATCACGGAGGGACAGAGCTGGAAGGAACCTAAGCACTTGGTTGACATGACCATTCCTGGCATACCGTGTTGGTTCCTGGTGGCCCTTGAGTTCTCTTAGGATCCCGAGTCCCCTAGTCCAAGGTCTTCTTTGGGATCCAGAGCAATCATAAAAGAGAGCAGAGTCAGAGGTCCCCCTAAATCAAGAAAGACTAAGGGAATATGGGCAAATCAAGAAGATGTGGGGAGGGGGTAAATGAGGACTTCTCAACCTTGACATTATTGACATGTGGGGCTGGATAATTCTTTGTTATGGGGGCTGTCCTGTGCATTGTGGGACGTCTAAGCAGTATACCTGGCCTCTACCCAAGGTGCCAGTAGCACCCACCCACCACCTACCCCTGCTTCCACCCTACAGTTGTGACAACCAAAAGGTCTCCAGACTTTGCCAGTTGCTCCCCATTGGGGACCACTGGCATAGGTGAGGGCACCTTCTGGTACAGTCTTCTGAACAGTGACCAGATCTGCTCTTGGTTCCCCCAGGCAGGAAAGACCCCCACGGACCTGGTGCAGCTGTGGCAAGCTGACACCCGGAATGCTCTGGTGAGCCCTGAGCTGGGGTCTGAGCAGAACGGGCTGGAGGGGGCTGCTGAGAGTGGCCCGGAGACCCCCCCAGCCTGTGCCAGCCCAGTAAACGCCTGAATGGCCCCCAGACCTGGGCAATTCCTCTGTGGAAGACCCAGGAGCACCCACAATCTACTGCAATAAAAAAGTCATTTTGCTATGTGTGATATTTGTGTCTTTTTGTGTCTGAAATATTTAGGAATGCAAGAACGAGCTGAGGAGGAGGGGACTTGGAGCTATTCCCCTTGAGCCAGCCCTGCTGCATTTCCTCCTCTCCTCCTTCCTTTTACCTGTTGCCCCTCTTCCCAAGTCCCAGCGTGGATCAGCCTCACTGTGCACTCATCCTGGACTGCCCCCCCCAACCTTGTGACTGCTGTCCTGTGAGGCTGTGTATAGCCAGCACAGGCCTGTCACGTGGCAGCCTTGAAAGGAGGAGCCTGGTTGGGAAGTGGGGCAGCCAAGGGACTGTGGATCACCCAGACCTGCCACGCCTCCCACAGGCTCAGCCAATCGGCTCCTCCAACCAACCACGGAACTGCCAAGCGGAAGCTGGCAGGGCTCCTGGCTTTGGGGCTAGGAATTATGGAACGAGGGCCTAGGCCCCACTAGAGACACCTTTTAGTGTCAGGACCCCTGGAAACAGCCCTCCATCTGGCAGAGGAACATGGGGTGCTGGCATTTCTCTAGCTGCTCTCCAGAGACAGGAGGACCTCCCTGGGACCTATAGGCCCAGGCTTTGACCCTGGGGACACCCAACCCAATCTGCCCCAGGGCTGACAAGTCAGGGGACAGCAAATTTTTAACTAGACACATTGATCATTAACAAGGGTAGCAAGGAGTCCAAACTCAGCCTCCCCTAAGGACAGAGGCTAGCTGGACCTCAGGCCCCCTGTGGAGATGCTGGGTCCCCGAGTCTTGTCCTCTGTGAGGCAGGGGCTGAGCAGGGGCTTGTCCAGGAATGTGGGGGGCCGAACATCAGGGGAGGGGAGGAAGGTGGATATTGCGGGCATCTACCCCCCTGTGACCACCCCCTTCACTGCCACGGCAGAGGTGGACTATGGGAAACTGGAGGAGAATCTGCACAAACTGAGCGCCTTCCCCTTCAGAGGTAAGTGGGCCTGTCCTCTGTGGGGCTCGGGGGAGATGCGAGTGATGCTGCTCTCTTCGGCAGGAGACCTGGGGCAGGCACTCAGGCTCTGTCAAGCCTCTCAGGAACCGTGGACTACCCTGGGGTCATTTTATTATAGGCAGGGACAGAGGGCACTGGTCTGAAGTCAGGAGATAGGTGGGAAGCTGGCCTGTGACCTTGACCGAATCTCTCCTGCCTCAGTTCCCCCAGCTGTAAACTGCTAAAGCACCATCTTAGCTCTCAGCATTCGTGCGGGGATCAAACTGGATAATGGATGTGAAAGTCCTTGTCAAGCAGGCGCTCTGCGCAGGTGTGGGGGCAGCCAGGGTGTCAGGGGGCAGCCCAGCCAAAAGGCCTGTTTCCCTCAAAGCCTTGTTTACACTCTCCCAGGAAAAGCCTCCCTCAGCTGAATGAATTCCTGCTCTGGGCCTTCCAACTCATATCCCCCGTGCACACTGGTCTTCCCTCTCTAAGGCCAGGGACCAGATCACATTTGTGACACTCACCATGTAACACAGCCACAAGCACAATAAGTGACAGCAGAAGAAATGGAAAAGTCCTCCTGTCCTGCCCTGCCCACCCTCATCCATTATCACGACAACCCCCTGAGGCAGTACCCGCAACGGCCCCATTTCACAGATGGGAAGATGAGACTCAGAGTGACACAGTCACTTGCCCGAAGTCACTTACTAGTACGTGGCTGGGCTGGGCTTTGAACTCAGGTCTCACTGCACAGCCATGCTGAGTTTCACTCCCCTGCACTGGCTGCTGAGTTCAGAAGATTTCCACAGCGCCTGGTCAGCACCAGCTTTGGGAATAGAGTGGCTCCAACTGAGGGGGTGAGTGGAGCAGTTAAGTACATGGACTCTAGCCCTGAGCCAACCGGATGGCCCAGTTGGTTGAGATGTCATCCCGAACACCCAAAGGTTACAGGTTCGATTCCCGATCAGGGCATATGCCTACTTTGCGGGTTTGATTCCCCATCGGGGCATGTGTGGGTGGCAACCAATCAATGTTTCTCACATCGATGTTTCTTTCTTTCTCTCTTTCTCACCCTTCTTTCCTTTCTCTCTAAAATCAATAAACATCCTCAGGTGAGGATTTTTTAAAAAAAGAACATGGGCTCTAGATTCAAATCACAGCTCTGCCACTGACTTAGCTGTGAGCTGGTCCCTCTAAACCTCAGTTCCCCATCTGACACACGGGAGTAATAATGTCCATCTTGTACAATGGTAGGGAGAAAAATCTGGGAGAATGCAAGTGAAAGCATGCTGTAAGTTGTGGAGTGATACATTGGAAAGTATTGACTCCAAGAATAACAATTATTAGAATGGCATTACCATGGGTACTGTGGGCACAGCTGTTTTGGGATGGTGACTGCTGGCCTGACTGAGACCCCATTCGTATCAGTGCTGAAGTCATGTGATCCTTCCTTAGAGGATAATGAATGTCCTGTGGCCACCCCCGTGTTGAACTGTGACACAAACCAAGTAAATTTCTACTGGGGCTTGGGGCATCGGGACCTGAAGATCTGTACTCAGATAGATGAGAATCTAGTACTCATCTATCACCATATGTAGTTATTATAATATTATTGACTTTTTGAGCTGAGGCTTTGTTCTCTTAAAGCAAAGTGAGAGGTTCCTTGAATCTCTGAGAGAAAGTTCTGCTTTACCTTCCATGTTCAAGGACACCTTAGTTCAGGGGGTGGGGAAGGTAGACTTTGCATCTGATATATGCCTGCTATCCAGAGAATCCACAGAGCCTCCAGGTTCTTTGGACTCTCCCGTCCCTGCCCCCCAACTCCTGCAGAGGGTGTAGTGTGCCTGGGAGCACGGGCAGCAGTAGCCTTGGCAGGCTGCTCGTCCGCCTCCCGCGCAACCCACGCAGGTGCCTGCTCCCACCTCATCTCTCTCGTACCCCAACACAAGTGGGGGGTGGGGTAGAGGCAGTGGGCTGTGTAGAAAGAGCCCAGGATCTGGAGTCAGAAGGCTAGGTAAGAATTCTGGTCCACCAGCTACAGCAACCTTGGAGAAATGACTGAACCTCTCTAATCAAGTTTCCTCATTTTAGAATGGGAACTGAGCCATAGGGTTCATCACATTTCTCCTGAGAAGCTCAAACACAAGGCCCTGGCACAAAAACCGTAGGGTCCTATCACTGCTCCAGGCCACAGCCCAGTGCCCAGGAAGGGAGCAGTGAGCGACTTCAGCTGTAAAATGCATGTTTTCTCTTGCCTGATCCTAGCCCTATTGTGCAGCTCAGCTCTCAGGGGCCAAGGAGAAAACCACCCCATTTCACATTGCCAGGGCCTCCCACACAAGCTGAAGGGCATCCGAAGAGGGGAACCTGCCCCTGATGAATCAGTGAGCAGCTAGAGACTGTTATGGAAGGCATTACCTAAAACTCTGTAGCACTTTTTTTTAAGTATTTTTATTTTTCAATTACAGTTGATGTACCATATTATACAGTGATTAGACATTTATATAACTTATAAAGTGATCACCCCAGTAAATCTAGTACTCATCTATCACCATATGTAGTTATAATATTATTGACTTTTGTAGCTTTTTATTTTTTCATTGTTAATTTGTGCTGATTATTTGAATAAGGAGTATTCTTTTAAATAGCAGCTACAACTAGAGACTAGCAGTGGAGTTGTTGTTGAGCGGACATTTGGTCCTGAACTCACTCCCGCAAACAACCTCAGAGATGAACTTTGAATTGTTGTTTCCTAGTGAGGTCATTGGACAGCCACAGAGCTGCTCCAGCCAGACTGGGGAGTTGATGTTTCCACAGAACTTTAAATTTGTGCTTTATTCCCTTAGTATGTGGACTAGACCATGGTTTCTTGTGATAAGATAGAATATTTTTGTGCATATTAAAGCTATTACTGTGTTTTGCTTAATATATTACAACTTTTTACAAACTTATCTTTGGCATTTTTTTTCATTTGAAAAAATGTGTCAGATGTCTCTGGGTGGAAAAATTGGGTGGCTCAGGCCCGTTTCCACCCCTCAGAGGCCCTGGGTATAACTTGGGATTGTGGGCCAGTCTGTCAGTTGTCTACGTGTAGGCAGAGTCGGGCCAGCCGGCCAACCCACTCACAGCAGACGCTGTGCCCACTGACAGGACCAGGGAGGGTGGTGGCAGCGGCAAATTCTGGGTTGCAGATGCATCACTAAGGCAAGGGGTAGCAGCCCCATCCTGGAATGGCCCTAGGGAAATGGGACACAGTGACATCTTTTGTCCTATCTGCTCTCCCTTCTCAGCCCTGCTGACCCCCGCCCGCCCCTTTGTGACCTCATGTTATTCCAGAAGGAGCTCCTTGCTGGGCCTCTTTTCCTTCTGAGGGGGCTGCTCTGTAATGGGGCTGGGGGCTGCAAGTGGGGATAGGATGCTGAGCTGGCAGCAGATGTGGGTCCTGGATGGAGGGAGACACTGGCCTCAGGTGGCCAAGAACGGAGACCAGCCCAGTCGAGGGTGGCCTTCAACCATGGCCAGCTTGACCCAGCAGCCTCTTCCTGCTGAGGGCCACTGGATGATGAGGGGGAGAATGAAAAGACTGGAAGATAAGAAGGCCGAGTTGCAGAATGTGTCACAAGCAGAAGACAGAAGGGACTCAGAGTTGAGAGAGCTGTACTTCCACTGACCTTGGGGATGGCTGTCAGGGTAGGAGACAGAACCTGGGCCCTCAGGCCCTGCCTGCCAAGCTTGATATGAGGGAGCTGTGGCTTCTCCCCACCCTGCCCCCCAACCAATGAACCTCATAATGGGCTTCATTGCTGAGGCGGGAGGGGCACCCTAGGAAGGGTGCAGCGGGGGGCCTGCCTGCCAGACACCCACAGGGAGCCTGCCCTTTCCAGCATGAAACATACCATCTGGGCTCCCCCACTCCCAGTGTGCTCTTAGCTCTGCCTGCCTGGCGTAGGGCCCTGGAGACCTTCGTGGAGCTCATCCAGCAACCATCATGCAAGGTGGTGCTGGGGACGGCCCTCTTACTTGGAGGGGGAGGCCTCTTGCTGTGGCTTCAGAGGAAGAGAAGGAAGACCGCTTCCGAGTCGCCACAAGATGAGCACGAGCCACAAAGCACACAATGCCTCAAAGCCCAGAATGAGAGCTGGATCAAATCTCACTTTAGCCGCCTTTCTGAAGAGAAGCTGGCCACCTGCAGCAGCACTGCCACTCCCCAGCCTGAGGGTGGCAACAGAAGGGCCGGCGCTGTGAAGCGCATGGAGTCCTCCACCTGGAGGCAAAAGGAAGCAGGCGCTGCCCACGACCAGGGGCCCTTCCCCAGCAAGCAGAAGATATCTGGGTCCTCCGTGGTCAAAGAGACCCATAAGGAGTCCTCACCCACAGATGAGGCTACGTGGGCCGCCGTGACTACCAGTACTAAAGAGATCGATGCCAAGGGACGGCAGCTGGCTAACTCCATGTTGCAGCGTGCCATGGTTTACCAGAATTCGGGCCACATGGAGTCCAAGGACATCAACCAAGAGGAGCTGAAAGCCCTTGAGGAGGTAGAGATAAAGCTGAAAAGCAATTTCCTCACCCAGCGGGAAACCACCGTAGCTGGTATGAACCACACACATGCCTTCCATGGCCATAGTCACCATGGCCACCAGGATCATCCAAGCCACCCAAACCACCAGAGCCACAGCCTGCCCAGCCGCAGCCATCAGGCCTATCACCTCTTCGAAACCACCTAACCACGGATGGAGATTCCCCTTCCCCCAACAGGGCTGGTACACAATCACAGGCCTGTTTTCTCTCCTATGGGACAATCTGCGGGACCCAGAGTGAGATGCTCCACCTGGATCCCTTCTTTCTTAGGCCCCTGCAACGGTCCTGGGCCCCTCTGACTTCATGAGTGGGGTCTGCCACAAAGGACAGCCTCTAATGGCAGGAGAGCTGGGAAGAAGCAGAGCAGCTGAAACAGACTCACGGGCCCCTGTAGACCCACCAGGAGAAGACAGATGAGGCAGATCCCTGGAGCAGCTGAGAGCCCCACGCTGATGCCACATGCCTGGAACTGAACCAATAAAGCCTGTACACCCTCACTCTGAGTCTGGGGGTTCTGTGGCCAGCCTCAGTGCCAGGCAGGAATACGGGGAGAGGGTTCCTTTTCCCACAGTCCTCTTGGTGTGGGCCTTGACCTGGGGCCTTATCACTGGGTTGATTTGAGACACTATAAAATGACTCCCTAGGTCTCAGTTTCTGGGGATGGGATATTTCCAGGGGGCTTTGTATCCACCAACCTGCTGGTGTCATGGAAAGAGGAAGCAGCCAGGAATTGGGGGGAGGAGGTGAGACAGACTTCTAGGAGCAATTAAGTAAGCGGGGTGAGCTCTGGGCCCTTGTCCTGTGGGTGCCACGCTCACTGGGTCTACGTCCTGCCATGTGGCATCCCACACTGCAAGTGTCCCCTCTGCCTGCCTGCTCCCTGGGGCCCTGGGGGTCCCCACAGTGCTCCCCCCTCACCTCTAGAGCTATTGTGCTGGCTATTTCCTTTCCTTGTTTATATTAGCATTGCAGGTGCTGGGATTGCCACTGCTGCTAGTACTACCAGCAGCTCCTCCTTTTTGAGGGTTGGTTTGTGTTTTTTAGTCTTTAGTGTATGCCGCGTTCCGTGTTCAGTGTTGCAGTCCGGGCCCATGAGGGAGGTATTACATTCTCTTTGTTCGGCAGGTGAGGCTCCTGAGGCTCAGTGATGTAATTCCCCTCAGGTGGCTCAGACTGTAAGCCGTGTCACTGCGGTTAGAGCCCTATTCAGCTGACCCGGAAGCCCAAACCCAGGCCACTACCCTGTTCTGACCCCAGTCGCTTGCCCTCCGTGAGAAATGGGTCCACCTCTCTCATGCTTATCCCTGTCCTCTCCCCACATGTCCTGACAGTTTCTGTGCACTCCGGCAAGCCTGGATCTCTCCTGCTTCCTCTTCCAGGGTCCCAAGAAGCCATTTCTGAGGCAACAAGTGACCCCCAGTTAGACAGTTAAAGGGAGGCAGTTGTCTCCCCCAGGGAACTTGAGAAAAGTCAGCCACACAGCACTGTCTAACCCCCAGAAACCCCTTCAATGTAGACATTTCTTGCCATTTCCTTACCAGTGGTTTCCAACCTGTGGGCCTCAAACTCCAGGGAGAAGGTACCAGAATCATTGCAAAGAAAAGATAAATCTATAAACATCATAAATATTGTCTATGAGGTTTGATATGGAGTTGGGAGTATTTAAATATTTTTGAAATTACTAATAAGTGACTTTATATAAATGTTGATGTATATTTGTATACTTAAAATACTTTATAATACAAATTTTAATTGGAAAAAAGGGTCAATCACACTGGAAAATGTTGGATGCTGCTTAATTAGACAAAAAGCAAGAGTGGTGAGGTTTGGCTTCTAAAAGTGATTGTTAAAATGCATAAAATGTATGCATTTATCTGGAAGACCTACATCCCTTAGTAAAAGCCTCCTACATAACCTTGGCTTGTGTGGCTCAGGCAGTTGGAGCATTATCCTGTAACTAAAAGTTTGCAGGTTTGATTCCTGGTCAGGGCACATATCTGGGTTGCAGGTTTTATCCCTGGCCCAGGCATGGGCATGTGCAACGCCCCCGCACAGGTCCCAGTCTGGGCGCATACAGGAGGCAACCAATCAATGCTTCTCTCTCCCATCAATGTTTCTCTCTCTCTCTCTCTCTCTCTCTCTCCCCTTCCCTCTCTGTAGAAGCAATGAAAAAAATGTCCTCAGGTAAGGATTAAAAAAAAAAAGAAGCAGCTTATTACATAAAATTTAAGATTAGCCAATTCTGACTTCAGAATCTTCACTTTAAAAAAATTTCAAACTGGCAAAATTCAGATAAAATCTCTAGTTAGTATGGTACCAAGGTTAATTCTCTGGTTCTGATATTGTACTACAATTAGGTAAGATGCTATCATTGGTGGGGACTAGGTGAGGGATCTATGGAAATCTCCTTTACTATTTTTGTAACTTTCCTATAAATTTAGAAGTAATTCAAAATTAAAAGTCAAAAAGCTTTCAGACAACTTAGCTATGAGTGCATATTAAAGTTTCATTACAGTTGTACTGTAAGGAAAATGGCTTCTAAGCAGGCAACTCAAGTATATACTCTGGTAAGGATATTTTTGTAAGAAAAGAGAATGGTTAAATCCTTGTTAGACTAGCTACAAGAAGGACAGCTATCAGCCACTAGACTCTTGCCTGAAAGTCAGCTGGGGAAGGGGGTGGCTGTTTTCCCAGATGGAGGCTCAATTCCATTAAAGCTCATCAAGAAATTACTTACGCATTCTGTCAGGAATGTTCATTTCTTCCTTTTGGGAGGTTATTGTGAATTACATCACAGAAGAGTTCTGTCCTAGACCAGGTTTGGGACAGTTTTTCTTTCACACAACATACTGTCGACACACACTTCAATTGGCAGCGTACAAAGATGTCACAGAGGAAGCCAAAATGAGGGGCACACCATCCCTGACCTTGATGATTCTAGGCAAAGTAGGACAAGTGCTACATGAGGAGAATAAAATGCTGTGGAGAACACAAAAGAGGGGAATTGAGGAAAGGCTCTGTGGCCCTCACAGCAACTGAGGAGCTGCGAGCAGGAAGGTGTTCCCAGCAGAAGGGAACAAACAGCATGAGCAAAGATGTAGAGAGTGTAGAGGCAGGAAGGTGGTAGTGTGTCTGGGTGACCTTGACAGTCAGTTTGGCTGAACGGCAACCTTTAGAGAGAAACAAAAGGTAGAAGAAACGGCCAGAAAAGGGACTGCAAAGCCTAGAGCCCAGGAGGACTTAGGAGATCATCCATTACAATTTGCTCTTTTGAGCAATTTTGCCTAATCCCACACATGGAGTGGAGGAGATCAAAGGGTTCTGAGGACTTTTGTGAATTTTGAGTAGGCAACAGGGAAGGGCAAGGGACAAGTAATAGAAGAACTTCGGAGGAGAGATGTCCAGTGAAGAGATGCCAAGGAGACTTCTCAGAGGAGGTGGCAATGATGATGGGCCAAGGGCCTTTGATTTCTTTTGGCCACAGTAAGTCACTAGGTGGCTTGTGCATCTTCAGCCCCAAACATCTACTCGCCTTCCGCAGCCACTCTGGCTCCCCAGAGCAATCAGCATCAATCACCAAGGGAGAGTAGCTTTCCAAACAGGTGTTTTTGTCTTACAGCTGGAGGCGCCAGCCTGAGAGGTCCAAGGGCAGCCTCCCCTCTTACACGAGCCATCTCCTCAAATCGAAAGCTGCCACCCTCCTGATTTAAGGCTTGAGCACTTTCTCCTGACTCCATAATAATTACAGCTAATATCGAGTGCCGGGTTCTGTTCTAAGCACTTTACAAATACTATCTCATTTAAGCTTCACAACAACTCTTTGAACAGTGTACTCATATTATCCCCATTTTTCATTTGATGAAGCTGAGCTTTGGTTAAGCTATTGGCCTGAGATCTCATAGCTGGTAGGGGGTCACTGTACTGCCCTGTTTCACCTCTCACTTCCCTCACTCCCATCTGGGACTCTGGCCTTTTCCTCTCCTCTAGTCCACTCTCTACAACAGCAGACACATCGGACCCGAAACTGCACTGCCAACCAGGAGAAGGCTCTTGAGGCAGCAGTTCATAGATTTCAAAGGGCTTTCCTGTACTTTCCCTTCTTTGTGCCGTTAGGGACAGCCCTCTAAGGTAGGATTGAAATGATTTTATTGTCATCCCATAGAAAAGGAAGTGGATGTCCTGGCTGGTGTGGCTCAGTGGCAACCAATCAATGCTTCTCTCTCCCATCTCCCAGGATGGTGCACTGGCCTATGAACCAAAAGTTTGCCTGTTTGATTGCAGCCAGGGCACAGGCCTGGGTTGAGGGCTAGGTCCCCATCTAGGGATGTGTAAGAGACAACCGATTGCACGTTGATGTTTCTTTCCCTTTCTTTCTCCCTCCCTTACCCTCTCTCTGAAAATAGATAAATAAAATCTTAAAAAAAAAAAAAGAAAGAAAAGAAAAAGAAATAGAGACTCAGAGGCATGATGTGACTGGCTCAATAGCCAGAGGAGACCTACGTCCAGGGCTTCCCTGCTTCTACCACATTCCCTCTGTCCAGCCTGGCATTTTTTCCCTCTTAGGAGTCAGAACTGGGTCAGAGGCTCCCTTAAATGACACAAGGAAGAGGTCACTGGGAGCCTTGAGCATAGGGGCCTCCTTTACCCCTTCGAGGAGGTCAGGCAAGTACAGTTGGGGAGGGAGGTGTTCTCCCATTGGAAGAAAGGGAGTAGCAAAAGCTTGATCTCTAAATCAGAGGGTACAGGTCTAGCCATGGCTGCACTGGGGCCCTCTCCAGGGCTGGCAACTCTGCAAACGGGATGACCCACTGGGAAAGCCTTGGGGCTTTATGTAGCAAGACAGGAGGAGGCTCCCGCCATCGGCTGCCAGCCTGACGCAGAGGAATTGCTCTTAAGGAGGCAATCCAACAGAAGCCAAAAGCTATTTGCCTCAAGATGTTCCTTGCAATGTTAGCAAGAAAAAACAAAACAAAAACCTGGAAAAAAAACTGGGAAGTATCCAGAGCTATTCTGGCAATCTACTCAGGGGAATCTAATGGTGCGGGGAACAGCGCAGAAAAGGCTGTGGTGTAACACTGACTCTACATGACACTGTGTCCCCTGAAGATGACTCATGGGAATAGTCTCCCTTGGTCCCGGTGCCAGGAAACTCTGTGTTTCTCCAGGGCAGCTGCTTGCTTTTGTCTTGAAGCCTGCATATCTGTCAGCTGACTTCGCTTCCCTTTTAGCTTTGACTGTCGGGAAGCTCCGAGTCAAATTCATGGCCCATCGCTCACAACCGTATGGCAGGGCGTTTGAAATCAGTATCATTCCCAGATTTATTTTCTTTTCTTCTTCCCAAACTCTTCTATTTATTAATAATCTTAGTTGTATTTTATGCTGTATTTGCCAACTATTGAAGAAAAAATATATTTTGGAATAAAATGGGGCTGGAAGGAGAAAGAAGAGGAAAGAGAAGGTTTTTTAAAAAAAAGGGGGAAGTAAATGGTTGTACTAACATTCCTTTCAGATTTAGCTGACTAGTGGCAATTCTGCTGGTCTCTCATGGATATAAAAGGGTTGACACCTTTAACTGGTAATGTTATAAAACATCCTAGCGATTGATAAATCAGGAAAATAAAAAAAGACAAAAGAACGAGGTGTCACTTTTCACCCAGAAAATTGGCAAGAATTAGTGCTGACCATCTGGGGGTTGGCATGCTGGGCACTGCAGACTCTCCTTTGTGTTGATGGGGTATGAACGGGCTGATTAGAGACACGTATGGCGTGTGCACATGCATGTACATGTTTGACTTGGCAAGCACACACCTAAATAAACTGTAGGGAAACTCAGATGTGGGCACTGAAGACTTTACAGAAAATGTTTGTTTCAGAATAGCTAGCAAAAATAAGGAAACTTTCTGCCCTGGCTGTTGTGGCTCAGTTGGTTGGGCTTCGTCCTGCAAACCAAAGGGTCACATGTTTGATTCCCAGCTGGGGCACATGCCTGGGTTGTAGGCTTGGTCCCCAATCAGTCCGCATGTTGGAGGCAGCTGATTGATGTTTCTCACATCAATGTTTCTCTTTCTCTTTTTTACTCCCTTCCTCTGTCTCTAAAAAAAAAAAAATGTTTAAAAGTATTTTAAATAAACAAACAAGAACACATTCAAAATGTCATCAAGGAGAGATTAAAAAGTAAACTGTGGGCCAAGCTCACAATAGAATATTATATAACAATGAAAAATGAATGAATCAGAGTTACATGTCCTGCTGTGGACAAAACTCGAAACACAAAGTTGGGCAAAAATGGCAAACTGTGGGACATATATATGTTTGATTTCATTTGTTTAAAGTGTCAAAACTCGCTATGTCTTGTTTATGGGCCCAAATGTATGTCCTAAAGGTATAAAGACATGAATGGGAACAATAACAGGTGAGTCAGGACAGCAAGAGGAGGGAGAGGAAGGTCACTGGGGGAGGGTCGCCATGGGTGCTGTATACTCACATGTGGATTATGTTATTATCTCTTCTTTGGGGTATGGCTAAAGCAGACCCTTAAAACAAAGGAAAAAAGGTGCGAACACTGTTATTGCAACTGGGTAAAACATTCCGGCTGCATCAGGACAAAGACAGGAAGGAAATGTGTGAAAAACTCTGGTTTGCAGGAGGTAGGAACCCCGGGTGGGTGTAACGTGCGAATGTCCTTGTTGTTCATGAGAGGACAGGAAGGAGACTATTAATGTGATGTGATCTCTCCTGCAGGCTTTGTGGTCCAGGGCTCCAACGGCGAATTCCCTTTCCTGACCAGCAGTGAGCGCCTGGAGGTGGTGAGCCGCGTGCGCCAGGCCATGCCCAAGGACAAGCTCCTGTTAGCTGGCTCTGGCTGCGAGTGTGAGGCCATAGTACCCTGGGCTCTGGGGGTGGCTAGGGGTGGGTGGCCAGGCTCCTTGGCCCGGGGGCTTGGGTCCAGCCTACTTGTTCTGTCCCTTCTGCACAGCTTGTTGCCCCAGGGTCCTAGCCCAGCCTTCCTTCCTCCTCCTGTTCTCACCCTCATGGCCTGTAAAGGAGACTCTCTCTTTCCTTCTGCAGCTACTCAAGCCACGGTAGAGATGACCGTGAGCATGGCCCAGGTTGGGGCTGACGCCGCCATGGTGGTGACCCCTTGCTACTATCGCGGCCGCATGAACAGCGCTGCCCTCATTCACCACTATACCAAGGTGGGTGTGAGGGGTGGGCACAGTTTGAGGTCTGGGACCAAGAGGGGGATGAATGAGGGGGAGACTCTGCCTGAGAAGAGGAGACTGAGAAACTGGGGATGGAGTGGTGAGCCTGGGAAGGGGAGAAATGCCACCACACACCAGCTGTGTGACATTGGCTCACTGCCCTACCCTAACCTTGCTGTTGCTGCTTCCTCCCTTCTCAAATGGGAGGAATGAAGGTATCTTCTTCATAAGGTTTTGTGAGGACTAAAATTCTCTCAAAACATAAAGAACTTGGGACTGTGCTTGGCACATAGAAGCACTCGCTAATTATTATCCACTGTTACTGCTTACCAGCAGGGCATGTAGCACTGCGACTTCCGGTCCAGGAGGTGGGCCTAGCCAGCAGCGCTCTGCCCTCTCCCCTCTTCTTTTTGTCCCTCAGGTCGCTGACCTCTCTCCAATTCCTGTGGTGCTATACAGTGTTCCAGCCAACACGGGGCTGGACCTGCCTGTGGACACGGTTGTCACGCTTTCCCAGCACCCAAATATCATCGGCATCAAGGACAGCGGTGGTGATGTGAGTGGCAGCAGCTCCTGGCTGGGGGATCATCCATTTCTCTTTTGCTATCAACCTCAGGGCCGCTCTGGGACCTGCTTCAGTTTGGGTTCTCTCTGTCATGGGGGCTCTGCCGGGGAGCCTCGTCTGAGATTGGGAGTACCTCACCGGGGCCTGGGCTCTCATCCGCCCGCACTGGCCCAGCCCCCACCCAGGCTTGCCTGAGGCTCCGGGCCCCACTACACCAGGTTTGCTGTTGCAGGTGACCAGAATCGGGCTGATGATTCACAAGACCAGGAGGCAGGACTTCCAGGTGTTGGCTGGATCGGCTGGCTTCCTGCTGGCCAGCTATGCCATGGGTAGGCCTCCCGCCACTCTCCCACTGTGAAGGGTGACCCAGATACACCCCAGTAGCTGGAAAAGACCGCGAGTGCCGGGACTAGGTCTGCACAGGGCCTTTGTCCGCTTGCCTGCTCTGAAACCTCAGAAGTCCAAACTGCTTGCTTGTCTGGACACTGGGTGCTTGTGAGTGACCTTGTTCTGGGCGGAGGAAGGTGGTTGTGTACAAACCCTGGCCTGTCATAGAGATGCCTGAGATTTGCTCTAAGTCCCATGCTCCCTGCTTAGGTGACAAATTTAGTTCCTCTAATCTCACAGAGGCCTTGAAGCCCTCCCCTGTATTGCAGAGTTGATTTTCCTCTCTCTTTGGTTCCAGGCTAGAATGATAGGTCAGACCTACAGGGTTGGGCCAGGGATCTTCAGCTGCCTGATCAGACTCTGTCCCAGTCCCGGATACTAGGAGTGTCACCATTAGATCAACTGTTCTTGTCCATTTGGGGTCAAGGTCCTTGGGTTCAGGTTGGATTTGAGCAAGAGGGACCTGTGGGGTGGGGAGTGGGTGGAGGGCCAGAGCATCTGCTCCTTCAGCTGACACCAATTTAAGTTATTTTTCCAAAGCTGCAGGGTCCTATTCCCTCTGGTCTGTGTAGACTCTGGCTCGTTGTCTAGGTCCTTGCACGTCCCCCTCTGCACATCACCATTGCTAAAGTACAGGGGAAGCAGGGGGACTCCTTCCTGAGAGTGGGGCAGGTGGAAAAAGCACAGGCTCTCAGGGCCAGGGGAATCTGAGCTGGAATCTCAGCTCAGGTGCTTATTTGCTGAGTATCAGTGGGCAAGGTACGTTACCCCTCTGGGCCTGAGTTTCTACTCTGTAAAGCAGGGAGGTGTTGTGAGAGAGAGCCCTGGCCCTTTGTCTGCCATCGTGCTTGGCACATAATAGAGACTTGATAAATGACGGCTCTGTTAGCCCATTCCTAGTTGCCTACTCTCTCTCTAGTTTTGAAGCCCCTCTGCTTAGGGTCGCTCCTCATTAGCCTTAGCATCACAGTAACAGGCTGGCAGAAGTGGCAGGGACCTCTGCGGTCACAGCCAGCCCATTTTCATCGCCCAGATGAGAACAAAGAGAACCAGAGAGTCTCTGACTTGTCCAAGTCCATGCAGCCAGTGGGAGGAAATTCCCGGTGTCCTGACTGTGTCCAGAGTGCTGTCCACTTCCCCACCCCTGTTCCAGGCTGAATTCACTTGGGGGGACGGGGGATAAGGTTTCAGAAGAACAAGGGCTTCCCATCCATTTCACCCCCTTCCAGGACTGGTGAGTCAGGGGGCTAGTAGAGGAGTGTGGAGGTGTCAACTGTCAGGTGGGACTTGACTTTTTTTGCGGGGGGAGGCGAGTGCAGGGAAGGAAGTGCCCTTGAGTTAGCCGTCAAGCTCTGCTCCCTGACTGCCAGCCTGCGGGTTCTACTCCAAACATGCTGGCAGCTTTTCTCTCTGGGCTCTGCGAGTCCGAGTCGGAGTTTTTATACCGCAGAAACTGACAAACGCTGTGCGTTAGGGCTCCTCATCCCCCCCCCCCCCCCAGGCCAGCGCACCACTGGCAGGTAAGGGAGATGCAGTAATTAGATCTGGAGGAGGGAGAGAAGGTAGGGAGGTCAATTCTTGTTTAGGGAGGTCAAATGAATCACTTATGAAAATGAGTGTTTGGTCAAATAATGGAGGCGCCATCAGAAGTAAATTCACATGGCCACCCAGTGGCATAGAAATCCACATCCCAGCTCCCCAGAACAAAGAGGGCCTGGGGACCAGAGTTTGGAATCCTCTGTTAGAAGGAGGCTCTGGCTGATGTTCTGCATCTTACTCTGGGGCAGGAGGTGTGGGGGGCGTGTGTGCCCTGGCCAATGTCCTGGGGGCTCAGGTGTGCCAGCTGGAGCGACTCTGCCTCACAGGACAATGGGAAGATGCCCAGAAGCTACAGCACCGCCTCATTGAGCCAAACACTGCGGTGAGCTCCCAGCCAATGGCAGCAGAGGGTTGGGAGTGGGGGTGTCCTCACTGGAGCGGGAGCCAGGGTGGGCCCAGGGGTCCCCACTCAGCCTCTTTCCTTTCAGAAAGTTGTTTTAGAGAACAGCCTAGTGTGCGAACTCCTTTTGCCTCCCCGGGAAATCTTGCCTTCAAAGTTGAGCCCCAACTTAAGTGTGCATTAGAATTCATTTAGGGATCTAGTTAAAACTGTAATCCTTTAGGCCCAGGAATGGGCACAGAGACAGGGGTGACTTATGTCACAGTCACTCAGGACCTTATGTATCCTGGGACCTTATGTAGGGATGCACTACCTAGAGAAAGGGCCCATGGCCTTTATGCCAGGTTTATAAGGGGCCAGATCCTAACACACACACACACACACACACACACAATGATTGAGAGTAGTAAAGGAGAAGCTGGAACAATGGAGCATTCCCAGATTTTCAACCCAGATTTCCCAGGAGACTTCTCTCTTCAAATAATCTATACTGCAGTCAGACCATATACCCCAAGTCTGTGTTGGGCAAGTCAAGATAGAAAGCCGGTCAAGTGCCAGGCAGTGCTGTGCAGAGCCCAAATGGGGTCTGAGGCCGAAAAATAATGTGTGCTCCTAAAGAGATGTTCTTATGCATATTTTAAATTAAACTTACAATACAGGGAGATCCCATGTACCCACCACTACAGATTTTCCCTCAGTGGTAACAATATCACAACCAGGATTCCACAATCATGATTTTGACATTGATATAGTCAAGGTACAGAATACTTCCATCACCGCAAAGACCCTTCATGTTACTCTTTCATAGCCACACATACTTGCCTCCTGCTCCTACACCCTCTTTAACCTATGGCAACCACAAATATGTTCAGTTTTTTAATTTTGTCAGTTCAGTACTGTTATAGAAATGAAGTAATATAGTCTATAGCCCTTTGAAATTGGCTTTTTTTACTCAGTATAATTTTCTGGAGATTCATCCATGTGTTGCATATATCAATAGGTGGTTCCTTTTTATTGATGAGTAGTATTTCATGATATGGCCATACCACAACTTGTTTAACCATTCACCTGTTGAAGGGCAGCTAGATGTTTCCAGATTTGGCTATTCAAAGCTGCTATGAACATGCACTTTGTTAAGAAATTTTCTTTCTACATTCATGAGGGATATTGGTATGCAGTTCTCTCTCTCTCTCTCTCTCTCTCTCTCTCTCTCTCTCTCTCATACTACCTCTGTCTGATTTTGGCATCAGGATAAAAATAGCTTCATAAATCAATTGGAAAGTATTCCTTCCTCTTCTATTTTCTGAAAGAGACTTTGTAGAATGGATATCAAATCTTTTTGTACACAGTTTTTGGAATTCTCCAGTGAAATCATCTAGACTGGGAGATCGTTTTGAGGGGACTTCTGGAGATTGTTCAGCTCTGCGCTGGGCTCTGCACTAGGCCTCCACTGGCGCGACCTGGGCTGGGGAGAGTGGGAGTGCTTCCTCACTGCTCCTGCGCGGCCTCTGCAGACATCACAAGTGGGTCTGTGGGGACTGGCCTCCTTAAGGGTAGACAGTGGTGGAAGCTGGGACTCTGAGCCTGCCCCCCTGCCTCCGGATGGGGAGGAGCACTCTTCTGCTGAGTTGTGGGATAGAAGACCTGGTTCCCCATTCAGCCTTGCTGGCTGGGAAGATGATGGGGGGCCACCGCGTTTCTGAGGGGTGGAGTATGGCTGGAGTAGAGTGGTTGTTGTCTAAAATTTTCCATCTTGCCAGGCTGCTCCTTGGCTAGAGACAATGGCCTCTTGTCGGGGCTTTTATTGTCTGTGCCTAATGGCATTTCAGAACTGCTGGCTCCTTCAGCTTCAAGTCTGGGCCACTTCACCACCACTGTGTTGTTCCTTGGTCCTGAGGTCCCCAGTCTGTCCTCCTTCTCTCTACCCTCTGATTCTTTTTAATGTTTGTTTTTATATATATCTAAGGATTTTTAGTTGTATGTATTGGGAAGAATGGGGAAAAGTACATCTATTCCATCTTCTTGGAAGTAAAAGCTCTAACTAGTTTCTAAATGGCAATTGTTTTTCACCCTCCAGAACATTAAAAATATTGAAAAATTTAAAAGTAGGTATATTAAAGCTCACACACAGCATTTTTCTAGTTTTAAATATTTTACATCCAAACTATAATTTGTTATAATTTTACCTCCCTTGCTTGAATGGAAGCAAACTTATGGAAACAATTTTTCCTGAAATCTACTTCTAGAAAAAAATTAACCATTAAAAAACATACATGTTGCGGGTTTGATCTCTGGTCAGGGCACTAAAAAGAAGCAACCAATGAGTGCATAAATAAGTGGAACAACAAACTGATGTTTCCCCCTCTCTCTCGCTGCTTCCTCCCATTCTCTCAAATCAATTAAAAAAATACACAAGCCCTGGCTGGTGTGGCTCAGTGGCATGAGCACTGGCCTGTGGACTGAAAGGTCACTGGTTCCATTCCTGGTCAGGGCACATACCTGGGTTGCATGCCAGGTCCCCGGTTGGAGATGTACGAGAGGCAACTGATCTATGTTTCTCTCACACATCAGTTTCTCCCCCTCTCTTTCTACCTCCTTTTCTCCTCTCTAAAAACAAATAAATAAGTGAAATCTTTTTTAAAAATACATACAACACGTATATAGGAACCTTATTGTCTGACTTGTTTACTTTGCTTCAGGCTACAATATGGCAGGACATGGTTCTGTTGGATCCTGTCTTTACTTAAAACGTTGTTCATTATGGATATTTTTGCATTGATTTTGATTTTTTTAATTGCATCAACTATTTACCTTGATGACTGAGTTTTCTGCCCACCCCCCCCCACCCCACCCCCGCGCCCCCGCTTAGGTTTTGCATCTGAAACGATAGTCCCAGACTGAGCAAGGCCACATATTTTGTTTGGGTAAAGTGATGGGTAGGCTCCGGATGTCCCTCACAGTTTATATTTTCACCTCGACAGGGCAGATTAACTCAGATTTAGAGACAGGGCAGCTGGGGAGGCAAGCGTGAGCCTCCCTGGATGTGAAGGCGCTCCTGGGAGAGGCCGCTCTGTCCACAGGAAGTGAGGCGTGCAGAAGTGAGGACCTTCCGGTGGCATCCCATGTGCGCACAGGCCTTACCGTACCGGCCAGTGCACGGGGCTCGGGCCTCTGCTTTCCCACTCCCATCCACCTGCCGGAGAGACGGTCCCAGAACCTGTACACCACTTTGACAGGAAGAGGAGAAGCTTCCAGGACTTTGGGGATCTGGTCTAATAGTGGCATCCTTCTTATTCAATTCTGGTGACATGGAATAGGTGTTGCCATCGTGTCATTTTCTAGATGAAGCAGCTTGGGCTGCCCCTTGGGAAGAGAGGATGCTTGCTGCCCTCCGACGCCCTGCATGCCATCCTGCCTCACCCTGCCCTCGGCCCCTCTTCTGCCAGCTCTGGGCACGCACTCAGGAATTCCTGGAACACCTTTCTGCTGCCTGGGCTGTAGGCTCAGCCGCCCCAAGAGCAGCTTGATGTCACCTTATTTCCCTGCCCTGCTCGAACACAATGTCCTTCCTTGCCTTCCCACCCAGCCAGACTCCTGCCCTGGCTATATTTAGGACTTTGCATAGTCTTCCCCACCAAAGCATTCAACCCTTTCTCAGCATGTGAAGAGGGGCAAATTAGGGATCTTCAGGCACCTTTGGTGGGAGAAAGCTTTTCTCTAGGCCTTTCTTGTGTCCATGCTCTCCTCTAGGTCTTCCCCACCCTATTCAGGTTTTGGGTGAAATGCCTGGGTTATGAGAACATCAAGGCTGGGTGGGGTCAGGCATGGGAAGAGAAGAGGCTTGCTAAGGCCTACTGGCCTCTAGTGGTGAACAGTTATTAGTCAGTCTTTCATTAGGCGGCCAACATTTTTATCCCAAACAACGTTTTGTTTTTTTTTCTTGTTTACTCTGCATGAAGCTCATACTTCTAAGGCTTTACCTTCCCTCCAAATAAAACTTTATTAAGTAGTGATTCCTTTCCTAGTTTTTAGGGAAGCAAAGATTCATTTAACGCTTCCAATCAGCATGAAATAACCAGTTGCTATGCTAAAATCACAGACACTTGATCCATCATTTTCTGTAAAACTCCAAGCACGATTTTAAATTGACAGCAGCCTTAGGTCTGCCATGACAATGGAATAGACTTTAGAGATCATGCCCAGCCGTCATTGTTTTAGGCAAGAGAACTTGCTCACAGCTCATAAGGTAATGATACAAGGTTATATGATGAAACTTCTTTGGACAAAGATGCATTATTTTCCCCAGGAGAGCATTCAGAGCCAGGTCAGGGAGGATCCTGTGCAGGGCCAGCAGAGGTCTGGGCTGTGCCCGACTTCCCGGGCCCACTATGCCCGGGAGTCAGGTCCCAGGGAACCGGGCTGCAGGCCAATCATATTCTAGCGCCCAGACCTGTGACGTTGCTTTCTCTCCTCCACATGGGAAAGATTTTCCTCCTAAAACCGAAGGAGGCAATTTCCTCTCTTAATCTGAGGTTTTGGCATTGTGTTCTCTACTGCCAGCTTGCCTCCTGGTCTCTAATCTGGATTCCCAACCTACCTGGGGTGTCGTAGACTTGGTGGAGTTACTTTAATCGGGGAGGGGGGCAGAAACCCCAACTCCCTAAGAGTGACACATGTCTGAGTCCTGGGTATATCTGTGCAGGGATTCCCCAGTCTCTTCTAACAGCCCCTGCTTCGCAGGTGACCCGGCGCTTCGGGATCCCAGGGCTGAAGAAAAGCATGGACTGGTTTGGCTACTACGGAGGCCCTTGCCGGGCCCCCTTGCAGGAGCTGAGCCCTGATGAAGAGGAGGCGTTGCACATGGATTTCATCAACAATGGCTGGCTCTGAGGGCAAGGATGGGACAGGCAGGCGCCCATCCTTGATTTGTACCTGCAGCCCGAAGAGGAGCATGGGGACCCAAGGGTTCGAGGCTCCTTTCCCTCCTGCAGTCCTCTAGGCACCTCTTACCAGCTTCCAGGCAGGCTCATTCCATATTCTCACAGCCCCAAGACTTCTTGAGTTTGTTCCCTAAATTCTGAGTCTCTAGAGACCTCAGTCCAGGCAGGAGCAACTGTTTACTTGCTTCTTTACTGTGGATTCCCATGGCCCAAGACACATGAGCTGGGAGCAAGAGTGGAAGGGCAGGGGCAGCTGGGCACAGGAGGGCTACCTGTTTGAAGAGAGGACCACTTAGACTTGGGGGTACAAACCTGACTCTAGCACAATGCAGGGGGAAGCCAGGCCTATTCTAAGAACCCAAGCTCTGACTCTTTCCAGGGGATGTGATCAGAAAAATGTCACTTGTCTTTGAAAGGCAGGCCACCCCCCCGCACCCCCTGCCAAGATGCATTCCAGCCACAGTGCCCTTTTCTAAATCCATTTCGATTCATTTCATATTCTTGTCTCTGGCTTTGATCTCAACCGTCAAGTGCACAGAGACAACCCAGAATTGGTAAATCACGACACCTAGTGGATAAATGTTACATTCTAGAAGACTGTTGTCAACCCAGGTCTGAAGCATTAGGGAAGGGGCTTGGCCTGAGACAGGACCATCCTTTTGCCTATGAGCACCCTGCTTTTATTGGTAAAAATACTTTGTTATTGCAATAAAGTTTAATAAGCTAAACTAGTGTATCTGTGTAGAGATCGTTATTTCACTGCTATGCAGTTCTTAGGTTTCCTGCCCAGATGTTAAGAAAGTACCTAGAAGCAAATTAGCACTCAAGGTCTGCTTTTTCCCAGCTCTGGAGAGGCCCTCACAACACCGAGCAAACATAGGCATTAAATTGGTGACAGCCTAGAGTAAGCATTATTGAAGTTTTAAATGGGAGAGGTAAAAAATGTTCAACTGACAATTTAGAAACACTTAGCACATTATTCAAAAAGGTTGCTTTCTCCAAAATGTTCAACCTTACTCAGCGATATCTGACAAGTAGCAGAAAACCTGAGATGAAATTTTTAGGAATTACTCTGGTTAAAAGAAAGGGAAACAGGTTTCTTGCTTAGGGAAAAGGCCAGGAGAGAATGTAAAAAGTATCAATCTTCAAAGGAAACTGGCATATCTGGCTGGCACTGAAGCTTTGCACTTAGCACCTAAGCTCTCCTTACAAGCGACTTCTAAAGGATCTGAGCTCAGAGAATCAGGTTCAGGGATGGGCCAAATGCTAGGGCTCGGGAGGCAGGCCAGTGTCCCGGTGAAGTGCTTGGGCCCTGGGCTCACACAGGCTGCGTTCGATTCTTGGATCTGCCCCTCAGTGTCTACAGGACACTACTTGGGAAACTACTTAACTGCCATGAGCCTCATCTCTAACAGGGGGATAGTAATAGCACCCCTCTCCCAGGACTAGAGAAGACCAGGCATGGAAAAGCGTTACTGGGGCAGGGGAATGTGCTGAGAAAGGGAAACCCAAGCAGGAGGGACGTGTCTGAGGTAAGCCAGCAGGTGCGGCAGTAACTGGTCTCAGGGCTCGGGTACTCTGATGCCCAGGGTGAGGGGCGTACAGGGGAAAGTGCTCTGGAGTCAGAAGACCTGGAAACAAATCCCACCCAGCTCTGCCACCAGTGTGGGCAACCTGAGCCTGTCTGATGTTTTAAAAATTAAATATATTGGAGTGACATTGACTGGTTAAACCTGTCTTCTTTTTTTTTTTTTTTTAATGCTCCTACCATGCAGAGGATTTGAGACTCGGGTGATATAATGTAGTAAAATGTACAGTGTCAGTTCCAAGCCCCCTCTATCACTAATTTTTAGAAACAGCAAATGGGTTTAACATTATGAGGACGCAGAGCAAGAAAGTCAAGAAAACTAAGAATAGGCAGTTCTGGTGATTTGTTTATTCCTCATAAACACTTGTTTCTACAGTACAATTCAGAGAATAAACAGAGGCACACGGCTATAATTTCCACCACAATCTGCTGCTGAGGAGACATTCAGTGTGAGGATAAGGGATTGGGGTGGGGCAGGGTGGGGCAGGTTTGGATCACAGGGTAACTGGAGGCCTCTGTGACGAACTGTGCAGGGATCCTATCAGCTAAGATCTGATCCCCAGGCCTGATGGCCAAGGCGCATGGTGGAGGAGTTACAGTGACCCAGATCAAAGAGCCAAATGCTTGTTTCACCATAGTTTTAGGATGGGTCCAATTCTACCTAAACTACTGGTCCACTGGGAAGGAGCTGAGTCAGCCCTAAAGATTCAGTTCAGTCCATGATAGAGCCTGAAATGGCCCCAAGGGGTCTGCCCTTTGCCCTGGAGTAAGTAAGAAATACAACTTTTAAGATAACTGTTTATATCGGTTTCTTTCTTGACTATCCCATAAAGGGATCCTGTCCCATATCTAATGAGAGGCACAAATGGGGAGTATCTGCTAGAACTCAGGTAAGGAAGAGGACTCATAAAGTCAGGGAAAGGGAAATAGCACTTTACCTAGTCCTTCACAGGGGGAATAAGCAGACACAAACACCCATCCGGTCAAAGTGCAGCCTGGAGCGGTGATGCCCATCAGCAGTGAACGAGGGGGTAACATACAGAAAAGCTCTAGCCTTGACTTTCACAGGATGGCTGTACTATCTAAACCATCCCTATCTTTTTATTTCCCCAGAGTAGCACAAAGCACTGGCCCTAATTTGGGGCTAGAATCATCTGCCCCAGATATAAACAGAATGAAGAGATTCTGCATCACTTGGCAGAAAAGGAAGTAGAAGGCATTGGCAGGTTTGCACTGGGTAACCCAGGGTATTATAACAGGACAGAGAACACCAATAAGTGAGACAAGGGAAGGAGAGAACTGGTAACCACCGCTGCAGGGCCTGGGGCCAGAGTCCTCAGAACTTCTCTGTGGTCACATCCCTGACTGGCAGGTGACAGAGCACAACACGAGGCTTCTGCTCCAAGGTCCTCTCACCTCCTCTCACATCGGGTTCATTTGTTCACCTCGAGTGAGTAACGGGCATCCGCTTTACCCAACACTTCTCAGCTGGTGCACGACGCCCCGTCAGGCGGTAAGATTCCTGGCCGACTTGGAGGCACTCTGGGCCCGCTGAACGATCGCAGAACACTTCTCACGCCGCAGCAGCTTGTTGTTCTCAAACAGGCCTTCGTTGCGGGGTATTCCGTGGGACCCATCGGGGAAAGTCAGCAGGCCTTTGAGGGGTACAGAGGAGATATGGGAGAGACAAGGGCATTAATGACTCAGAAAGACCTGCTCGACAGGAAGAGAAAACCTCGCAGCCCTTCTCAGGAGGACTCGTGAGTTCGGTGACTAGGCAGGCACTGGGGCACCATCCCTGCAGATTGCTGGACATCCACTGAAGGGTTAAGCTAACAAGGTGTACTTCCACCCACACTACGCTCACCTAAGTCTCTCATCCTCTTGGGCTGCGACTTACCAAAACCATCTACTCTGCCATTTTTAAATTCCCCCTCAAAGGTCATGTTGTCATGTCGAATGAACACTCCGACGCCATTAAACTTGCCCTGGGCAAACTCCCCCTCATACCTGGAGAAACACAAGATATTAGCCTTTAGGGGGGTAGTGCGCTGTCGAGGTTGACTGAGTCAAGCAGCTACCGACACATGTTATCTATTAATGCCAAGGAGCAAAGCTGATCCCACTTACCTTATCTCAGAGTTCCACCCACCCCACTCCCAATCAGCACAGAAAGGTCGGAGGGCATGTACGATGTGAGGTCCTAATCTCAAGGAAATAACAGAACAGCAGTGGAGTAGAAGGTCACTCATTTCTTGCTACTTCAAATTTTAGATCTATTTATAAAATAACCAATAAAAAAACTAATGCTTAATCCTTGCCTGTTTTCAGAGGGCCTGGGAAAATCACTGGTTTGACCAGATATTTATCACGATCATTTTTAGATCAGAGTCTCCCTAGTTTCAGGCTGAGAAAAGAATGACCCAGTACTTACCTTGAGCCATCTGAGAAGGTCAGTACCCCGAAGCCATTGAAAAGCCCATTCTCAAAATGACCCAGGTAGGTGCCACCATCTGCAAACATCAGTTGACCGAAACCATGTCTGCGGCCTGAGCCAAGAGAAGGACAAGTTTCAGGCTGGGACGGGGCAGCTTCAGGGTCCTCTCTCGCTGTCTAACAACCCTTGCCTTCCATCACCCCACCACAGACGAAAGAAGAGAAGCAGCGACATTGTCAGGGCGGAGAACTGATACCCAGAGTAACAGCCTGGCTCCTGCCACCTTCCCACCTTAAGTCACAACCATCACATTTGAAGCAGGTCTCTCTAAGTATGAAAGACAAGACAGCACTTTAAAATAGCACACAGTGCCTTTATCATGTGCCAGGCACTCTCCTAAGCACTTTATATTTATCATCTTATTTAATCCTCACAGGAGCCTTATGAGGAAGGCACAGTACTATTATCATTCCCGTTTAACAGATGTGGAAACCAAGGCAAAAAGAAGCTAAGTAACTTACTCAAGATCCCAGAGCAATTAAGTGGTAGAGCAAGAAGGCAAACAGCAGGCAGCCTGACCTTAGAGCCCTCCACACTTAAATACATTGCCACTCTGAGAAGAATAAAAGCATACCTCTTAGCACCATGAAGCTACCATGCAAACCTACCGGCCCGACTGGGCCATTGGCTTGAGCTCTGTCACATCAGTAGGACTGAGCTAACCCAGTGAACGGACCAGAAAACAGAGCAAGATACAGGAGGAGCAGTAATGCTCTTCAAACAGAGGAGAGGCAGTTCTTTCGGGGGACGGATTCCCCAGCAGAGCCTCAGGAAGTCTCTCCTCTAAAGGTCATATTAAAGGGGACAGCAGGTGTTTGGGAGGCAGAAGGCAAGGCTGGAAACGTACAGAGGCAAGGTCCCCTCCCATCCGTACAGTTTCCCCTCTCAAGGCTCAAGAATTCTTCAGCTGCACACGCCTGGAAACAGCGCGAGGCGTTCTTCGCTGGCACAACTGCAGAGTGGAGTCTCCCTGGGGCAGTTCCTGGTTTGCTAGGACTGGACCCACGGGACTTTTAAGGAGCCAGACTGTTTCCAAATTGAACATCATTAAACTAATTCCTGTGTTGTCGCAGGCTCTGAGAAAACGTTACCGTTCCAAAGAATAGATACTTCCAAATGTAATGAACTGTCACAGGAAATTCAAGGCAATGGACGTCACTTGCTCTTGAGCGTCTGGCCTAGTTTCCTTAAGTTCTCAAGACTCATCAGAATCAAGTCATTGCCATAATTTCTGTACTTATGGACAATAAAATAATTCATTTTATTCTGTTGAGTACATTAGCATTTAGAAAAACAATTCCAAATAAAATCTCTAAAGGATAAAAGGGTTAAAACACAACTTAGAGGTAGAAAGATTTAACTTACTTCTGGAGGTTGGATTAACAATTGTATTTTTTAATTCCTTTATTTATAATCCTAGAATTAAATAAAGGAAAGGGACTATCAGATTAAATCTTGGAGTTAGACCTGAAGACAAATCAAGTTGGCTTATTTATCCTGAGGTATCTGTCCTTCAGCCAAATGAAGTGTTCATCACTGGATACCCCCCGGGGTCCTCTCACCCTCCTTCCACTCGCCACGATATTCCTCCCCACTGGAGTAGGTGAAGGAACCTTTTGTCAGGGTCATGGTGACAGCTTACAGAAGGATGGAAACTGCAGGACACAAGCAGAGGAGAACCAGTGTCATGGGATGGCTGGAGGAAAGGCCTGCAAAGCAACTTTGAAGATATATCCCAAAGGCTACCAGCTAAGTGAATGCTACCTGGAGTACATTTAACAAAACTACCCACCTCTCCAACCATCACCATCACCATCACCATCACCACCTCTGCCCAAGCAGTCTTATCCTCCTACTTGTCTTTAACGTTTTCGGCCAGTTCCAATTTTCTATGACCTGAGATGGAAATTTAGGATTAATCTACAAATACTCGCTTGACACCTACTATATACTTAGTCAAAGTGTAAAATACAGTCTTTTTTCTCAATGAGTTTATAATCTAGTTGCTAAGACTAACAGTCAAGTGCTAAACGGGACGGGCTTAAAACAAGCAGTGAAGAACGCAAAAGGCCATTCCAGCCTGAGAGGACAGGGGGAGCGAAAGCACAAAGAGCAACGTAAACATGAGACGTGCAGGAGGAAAAGCAGCAGCTGGGTCTTACTGGAGTTGAAGGTATATTTAGTGAGTAATAGAAAACACATGTGTGTAGGTACACTCAGTCTAAATCTTAAGCTTGAAAAGGACCTCTCAGATTTACTCCAAACTCCCTCTTACTACAGATGGAGAAACAGAAGCCCGCAGAGTTGAAAGTCAGTCAGTGGCCAAGCTGGAACTAGTGCCCAGGCCTCCCCGGACTCTGCTTGTTCTTTTCCCCCATGTACTATGCGCTCTACTTTTAGGGTCAGGCAAGCATAAGAAGACCTTTGACAGCTAAACAGAAGAGTTTACAGCTGATAAGGTGAGTAAAGAGAAAGCTTCATGGGGGCCAAGGGGGTTGAACAGGGATGTAATATGATGAAAGCAAAGTTTAAGGAAAAGGAAATTGCAGCAGGAAGCAGAATGGGTTGGAGCAGCAAACACCTAGAGCCAGAGAAGCTTGCAAGGCAGGAGATGTGATAATTCAGTGGATTGTGAAAACGAGCATAAATTATTCTCCCTCCATTCATGCCCTTGCACTTTGTCATGGCAGATCCTCCCATGAAGAGGCAGTTTATTTACTCCTCCACCCACTGGATCTGGATAGGTTATATAACTAATGGAATGTCAGCAAAGGTGATGCAGCAGAGGTTTGAAAAGCACTTGCATGTTGGGCTTGCCCTCTTTGGGGTGCACGTGGGGCTGCACGTGGAACTGTTCTGTGCCCATGGGAACAGGCCCGGGCTAGTCAGGTGGCCAGTGGCGGGCCACACGGAGCAGCTGTCCCAGCTCACTGTAGATGCCTTGGTGAGCTCAGGCACGGCCAGGAGAGCTGCCTTCTGAGCCCAGCCCCAAATTACTAGCTCACAGAAGCACAGACTAAAGAGATGGTTGTTGTTTCAGGCCACTGTGTTTTGGAGTGATGTATTATTACCCAGCAAAAGCTAACTGATACTCCCAGATATGAGATCATAACCCCTGCGCCAGAGGGATAACAGGGTAAAGGGAGCGGAAGGGATGACTATGAGACATATCACAGGAGAAAACAGTCACCACTATCGCTCAGTAATATTTGAAGATTGACTAGGTATGACTTCATATGAGTGGTGAAAGAATGTTTGTATTCAGGAATATACGACAAAAAGGGATTTAAGATACCCCAAACATCAAAATATAAATAGAGATAAACAGCATCATTTGATATATTTAAAAAATATGATTCCTATTTCCTTTTTTAAATCCCCTAGGTCTTTTTTACTCACTCTTGCATCTTTTCCTCATCAAAAATAATACAATGTTTTCTCAAGTGATTGTGACAATGCATAGTCCTAGGCCCACACTCAGATCTACTAAATCAGATTCTGTACAGTTAGCGCCTGGGAATCTGCAATGTTAACAAGCACATCATTAGATTCTTACACACTGGAAACTTGTGGATTCCTTCTCCAATAAATGGAAATGCTGTGTGTGAAGAGATCTCTGACCTATAAATCACCATTGAAAGGTCCCCTGTTATTAATAATTAACCTAGAATCTGACCCTCAGGCACCTGACTGAGTTCCAACAGCACAAGCGCACCTCTTACTCAAGAGCTCTGAGGCCAAACCTGGAGGACAATTTTTTTAAAATCCTCACAGGCCTGCTGCCAACAGCTAGCTTCCTTTTTAAATCCCTGCGGGCCTGGTGCCAACTGCCAGCTTCCTTTTCCTTCTAGTCCCAGAGAAGCCTAAATCTCACACAACGTTAAGTGTTGTATTGATGTTGATATCTCCATTATAGAAATCAAGATGGGATTCTAAAGAGTGGGTTAGACTGTATAAGAGAGATTTGGCATATTTTATACAAAAATGATGCTTTAAATGTTCAATTAAAACAAGACGTACGTTGTTTTCTCTGAATGGTGGTGGTGGACAGCGCCGAGTTGCGCATGCTCCAGGTCAGCCAACACGACTCTCTGTTAAGCAACTGAGCTAGCCCCACAGAGGCTGTTTGAAATGCCTTCATAACAGCAACTAACGTTTACTGACTACTTAGTGTGTGCCATAATTGTTTTTAAAATACATTATCTAATTTTATCTCACAACTTGATGAGGTGGGCATTATTATTATTTCCACTTTACAGATGAGAAAACTGAGGTGCAGAAAGGGTAGGTTAACTAAGGTTATCCAGCTAACATGTGCGGGTTAGAGTCAGAACCCTGGCAGATGGCTCTAGGGTACACATTCTTAAACACTCTCCTACCCGGTCCTGCCTCCTAGCATAATACGGTAGTGTTGTGGACCTTGGCAGCACCAAGACCTGGGTTCAGAGCCTGGCTCACTGTGTAGCCTTGGGCAACTTATTGAAGTGTCTCTAAACCTCAGTCTCCTTTTCCATAAAGTGGAGATAAAATACCTACTACACAGAGTTGGCATGTGGATTAAATGAAATAATGTACATGAAACTACCTAGAATACTGTCTAGCCCTGACCTTTAAATGTTGTTCTTTTCCTCTTCAAAGAAACACCTCAACTCACACACTTACTATAATGGACATTTCCCTAAAGTCTCAGTATAAAGATGCTACCCACATAATTTGAATAGCATTTTTTTTTTAAAAAGTAGTCATTTTGACTAATGAGGTAAATACGAAGCAGAAGAAATGCAAATTATAGTTGCCACCCATTTGTTCTTTATCAATACCCTATAGGATATTTTAATTTTGGCCTCCATCATAGTAATTTTTGATACAGATGCCGCATGCCCAGAAATGGTCGAATGCGAAATCAGCCTGGCCTGAGCAGAGCCCGGCCCGGTCACATCTAGGCCCTGGCTGTGTCTCAAAGCTCTAGTTTCATCCCAGCTGTGAGGAGAGATGAGCTCTGCAGCCATGAGGATATAACAAGTTCTGAGGCCCCTGTGTTTTCACCCAAACATGGAGGAACATTCAGTTCTAGCCCCGTAAGGCAGGCCAGCTTCGTGAAAGCGCTTCTAGAGATGTTTGGGAGGCAATCCCATAGGTCCATCAGGGACTTTCACGTGTCTAGTTACTCAGAAACTTCACGTCCAGGGTCCTTCACATAATAGAATGCAGTGTGAGGAAAGGATCATCTTCTTTTGTCTTAAAGCCCCTCAAAAACCTTTGAGGCTATTTTCTCAGAGAGGTGATGCCATCTCTGTTCCACCAATGTTCCACAAGGTCAGCATCCAATTTCAGGCGCATAGTCCGCTTATCGTCAGCCTACCATCAGACTGTGCAAATACAACATTAATGAGAGGAAGGGAAACCGTTTTCCATCAAAACTGCTGGGGAAAACTCTTTCCAATCTGGATAGGCATTGTGATAGCTAGAGGTCATCTTCAGCTCTTTCCAGAACAAATTAAGTCAGAGTACTAAAAGTCAGTTTATGGAACAAATCAGAACTATCTCATTCCTTCAAAACCAGTTAGAATCTGAAAGGCTGTATCTTCTACCAAATCTTATGACTAAACAAACATTCCAAAATATAAATACAAAATCCTTATTTATACAGAAGATAATGGCATGTCCTTTACATGTTAGGCAACTTGTCTTCACTAGGAACTTTGGAAGGAGTTACTGCAGTGCAATTTGCAGTCAGACTGACTACATGGGGGCTCAGGAGGAACAACCCCTTGTTCTACTTTTTCTCAAGGCCACATGAAACTCCCAACAGTGGCATCCCACTTTGTTTCAGAGGGACCAGTAGGTCATTGAAAGAAAGAGAACATCAACTCTCAATCTAACCCTGTCACCATCCTCTCCCACTTGTTTTCAAAAGTACATACTGTACTACAAATTTCCATTCCTTTTTTTATCTAGGGAGATATAGCAAGTTCCCTTCAATAGTTGCTTGTCGAAATAAAGACCATTCCCAAGAACACAGTCAAAAGTGCTTATTAAAGGGAATACATGTCGACTCCATGGGACTAAGGCCATGGTTAAACCCATTTGACTAGAAGCTTCTTCCTATATCCAAATTATTGATATTGTCACTGCTTGGGACACTGTCAGGATTTTCATTTTTGACCTCTGTAAATAGCCATGCTAAGTAATACTCAGCTGCACAGCCAATGACCCAGAAAAAAATTTCTCCAGTTACCATAGTCCCTGAGACAAATCTAGTTTTATATAGTCAGTGCTAATGAAGACTGAACACTCAATACTTTAATAAGAATGTAAATCAGTATTTCTATCAGTTATTAAAAAAATTTTTTTAAAGAGAATAGATGGCTTATGAGTTTAGACTTTAGCTATATACATGGAATCTAGTCACAAAGTCAAGATAATTGATGCTTCTTCTAAAAGGATACCTATCCTTTCTGCTCTCTTGTTGGATGGGGTGCAAAGAATCAATCCAAACATTTATCTAAAAGGAAATGACTATTTTGTCTGTGTAAACTAATACACTACCGGTCTGCACAACAGACCTTGCTATGTTTCTTTTCATCTGACCCAGACATTTCCAAATAGAAGTCAAAGACAGGAATAATTTTTGTTTACATTCTGTTTGTCTTTTTCAATTTTAGAAATCAAACTTGTTAAGAAAAAATGTTTATGCACTCATAGTAACCTGTGTCCAAATTCAGAGGATTAAAAAACAAAACAAAACCCAAACTAACATAAAGAGGAGTAAATTTTCAGTTTAGGAACATTGTTTGGAGGCAGCAACCCCAATTACCCACGTGTGCCTTCACCACTGTCCCCCTCCTACGCCACCCTCCCCAGAGTATGAGAGTCGTGTCAAAATTCCTTCAGTTATAAAGCAGTTAAGTCTTAGGTTTTTAGATTCTGAAAGAAAAGAAAATGAAGGCTTTGATGAACACAGATAAAAACTAGAACAAAAATTCAAACGTGCTTTTTAAAGTGTTTTAAGTGAGCTTGAAATAACTTTTTATTATAAGTGAAGTCTTTTTTTCTGGTAAGTCTCCCTTCCACTAGAAAAGTGAACAAATGTATGGCTACCAGTTAAAAGTCTTTTTTAGGAAGCCTATGGGATGGTTAGATTGAAGAACCTAAGAAGAAAATCCTGACACCAGTAAAGAAGGTAAAAAAAATAAAAATAAAAAGAGGACTTGGGGGTGATGGGGAATGCCAGAATACTATTCTATTTCATGATTAAGGAAAATGCCTGCTCCAGGTTCTAATAGAGCCCAATTACTCTTTTTGATACCAAAGCGGTTTGGACATTCTAGACTACAGGGATGCTACTGCCATCAACTAACTGAGGCACCCCATTCCCCCAAACCTGGATATGTGGGACGTCTCTCCATCGCAGTGACAGAGAGGCAGGCCCAGAGCAAACAAAGGTCTAGATGGCAAAAGGCAACACTTCCTCGTCGACCTCCCCTTTCCTTCAATCGCCCGTCCTTGCCTTCCACAACTCTTCCTGCCCTCTACTCCGGGTCCACTCGCCCGCCCGGGCCGGACTTTCTGCTCGCACAGGTCTGCCATCCCCACCCACCCTGCTCGCTAACCCGGGTGCCGCGGGCTCTCCCGGGTCTCAGCCTCGAGCAGTGGAGATGAGAGAGGCCCGAGTTTGGGACCCGAGGCCACCCTCCGGTCAGCGAGTCGGGCTTGGAGCTACGGTCCCCGGCCCCTGTTATCTGCGGCTGGGCTCCTCAGCCTATTCCTCACCGGCCACACCCTTCTGGCCCCCTCCCACCCGTACTGCCAAAGAACCTGGGCTCCGCCTTTCGGGATGACCGTCACGCCCTGGCGAGGAGTTCCAGGGGCCGAGACCTCAGATGCGCCGGGCTCGTCCAGGCCACCTGCCTCTCCACCACCTCCACCAGCCCCTGCCCCACTTAACGCCGCCATCCCCGGCAGCGGCACTGGGCACAATTCCCGCTGTCCATTGGCTGTTACCTAGGCAACCGGGAGCAACGCCACTTCCCATTGGCTCAGCCCGGGCTCGGCGCCATCTTTGTGCGGGGCTAAGTGTCTCAGAGAGCTCCTGGCCAAATGTCCTTTAGAGATGGGGCTGAGGCCCCGATCCCATCTTGGCAACCCTGATGGAGCACTCAGGCCTTGCCCAGCCCGCGGCTGCGTAGCCGAAACGTCAACCCCAAACAAAACAAAACCAAACCTGTGTCAGACGCAACAGTGAGGCAGTGACCACCAAGTGCAGATGCTCAGATCCTGCTCCGATCTCCATAGTTGTTAATGGCCCCCCTGCGGAGTTTAAGGACAGAACCTAAACACTTTGAGGGGTAGCTTTGTAAATTGTAAGGCGCTGGAGCGGGCACTTTAGTGTCAACTCGGAGCCAGCACTGTGATAGCAAAACAATTTAACATTCATTGTAGGGATGTATTGTCATGACACAGATCCCTGGATTTTAAAATGTGGCAAGATTGAGGCAAATCCTCTCAAATAACACGCACATCAGTCAGTTTATCCATATGTTTATTTACTGAACAGTGGGAATGCAGCATAACGCCAGGGTTCTGCCAGGCTAAAAAAGACATGATCACTGCCCTCATGGGACTTACGGCCTAAGTGTGGAGAAGCAAAAATTTAACGTACGTGGAAATATCCAAGACCATGTTTAATTATTAAGAGAAAGTAAACGCATGAAGAAACAAATTGCCTCTTTGAATTGGGATTTTTCCTCATCTGTAGGATAGAAAATTATAATGACGATAATGATACAGGCTGCCCAGGACTTGAGAATACAATGTCAAAATGCTCAGTACTGTGTCTGAGACATTGTAAGTGCTCAAAAACAAAACAAAACAAAACAAAACAAAACAAAAGGTAGTTTTAAATAGTTTTTAAAAGACTGGATTCTGTGTTCAAATCCCATCTCTGCCACCAACTGTGTGTGGCTTAAAGCAAGCTATTAAGCTTTCTAGCCTGTAAAATGAGATTGGGCCAGCAGACCTACAAGGTTCAACCTCGCTCAACACTCAATGTTAAACATGCTAAACTGGGTGGTAATGACTGTAGATATAATTACAGTAGTTGAGAGAATAGAGCATCAAGAAAATACATGTTATTAGGTTAGAGAATGTGTGTTAGAAAACATGAAGAAATAAGATTCATATATTATCAAATTATGGGGAGACCTGGAAAATTAGAAGGAAGATACGGTTTGCAAAACATAATTTCTTGAATAGGCAAATTCAGAGTCACAGAAATTAGAATAGAGGTCACCAGGATCTAGAGGAAGAGGGAGTTATTTGTTAACGGATACAGAGTTTTTGTTGGGATGATGAGAAAGTTTTGGGTAGATAGTGGTGATACATTCATAACATTGTGAATGTATTTAATGTTACTGAATTGTACACTTATGAATGTTTAAAATGATAAATACTATGTATATTTTACCACAATAAAAAAATGCAGTTTCCTGGTCAAAACAGTGACACAATGAAACTGGTGTTTTAATAAAATGAATATGACAGTAATACCCAGAGATGATCAGAGAGAAATTGGAAGCAGAAAAACACTGTAATAATGTAGCTAAGCCACTGTAATAAGGTAGCTAAGACATCCTACAATGTGGCATTAGTGCAGATGAAAAGAGGGTAAATACAAGAAACACTTTATAGAGGTATTTCATAAGAAGCAATACAGTGTTAAAAGCATGGAGCTAGTCTGCCTGAATTTGGATCCAGCTGTGCCACTTACCTGTTTCATGATTATAGGCAAGTTACTTTACTCAGTTTCTGACATTATAGGGACTGTAATGCTGGTTACATGACTCAGTCCACATAATGCACTTAAACTAATGCATTGACACTCTTTGCAATAAAGGGAAAGGCAAGTTCTAAGAGGTGGATACAGAAACAAATTCTGAGGGTCTTCCATAGAGAAAACTCAGAATTCAAGGGAGAACTTTAAATCCTGGAGCTTTCCTTGACAACAACTTGAAGCTCAGGAGCTAAATAAGATGAGTAATACAGGAGATCGTCTCCGTGGCTATGGCCCCCAGGACACAGAGGCAAGTATTACTTGATTATTTGACGTTTGCGTAGTAAAGGGAAACATGCCTTATAACTGAAAGGGGTAATTGAACCATCTGTATGCATCTTTGCTGAATGGTTTATTTGGTAAAATAAATGCTTAAGACATCCTCATACATATAATTAAACAATTCAGTTTTTCTAGTTACCTATGGCAATAATTTTATTTAAGAAAGATATGTCAAACAGACTTAAAGAGACTCTGGAGGCTTTGACTAGAAATAAATGATAAAGATTTATTCAAGGGTCTTAGAGTTTGCAAACCAGAAACACAACTAGGCAACTAGAAGTGTTTTCCAAACAATTAAGAGTTCTTATAGTGAAAAGTACATTCTTCAGAATAATCAGTTCTGCATTCTTAGCCCTAGGATTGGCTCAGGGTAATCAGTCAGATGTCAGGAGATAAGGATGAGGATGCCAGGTGGTCTAGAAGATGGGTGCCAGGAGGCCTGGTCACATTCGTGGTCTGGAAAATAGATGTCAGGTCTATGTCACATAGTCTGGATATGTGAGTCCTTCAGGCATTATAAGGAGGTCTGGTGTATGTCCAGTATTGACACACAATGAGTTGTAGTATGTCCAGGCATTGATGCAGGACTGGAAAGTTCAAAAGTTTAAGTTTCCAGGCTAGTTGAAACAAGAACAGAATCATTTCTTCATGCCTGAACTGACTTGATTTTTAGTAATTAAGCAGTTTGACTATAGTGATTCCATTTTATTTCCCTACCCTATTCTTCAGAATGATTATGAAATATTGGTTACTATGTAGCTGGTTACCTCTTGTGAAAACCCATATTCTCTCTGCTGGTTACTTTAAGCACAAAAACCAAAAACAACATCAATAATAACCTCAGCAGTGATAAAAATCTACCATTTGTTGACTGCTTTTTACATACTAAGTGCTATGCTAAAATTTTTTTTTTTAAGATTTTATTTATTTTTAGACAGAGGGGGAGGAGGGAGGGAGCGAAACATCAATGTGTGGTTGCCTCTCACACGCCCCCTACTGGAGACCTGGTCTGCAACCCAGGCATATGCCCTAACTGGGAATTGAACCTGATACCCTCTGGTTTGCAGGCCAGCGCTCTATTCACTGAGGTACACCAGCCAGGGCTAAATTCTTTACATCCTTATCATGACTCTTATTTAATCAATTAAGGAAGAGATGATTATTCCCAATTTATAGATGAGAAAACTGAGACTTAGAGTTAAATAACCCATCCAAAATAACTAATAAGTGTGAGGCCAGGGTTCAGACTCCAAGTTCAAATGACTTTGATTCCTTCTTCTCTCCACTCCCCTCTAAACTAGTGATTTAGTTATTGAGTACATTCTTCCTTTAAGAATTAGCTCATAGCACATGCTCCACTTAAGGCCTTTACTGACTCTCCAGCCTCCCTCCAAGTCACTGAACTTCTATTAAGGAGTTTTCAGCTCTGATTGATGGCTCTTTTCCTCCCACTGCCTCAGAGAGTTGTCTGTCTTCAGCTTGAGGGCAGGGACTCATTCTTCTCTTTACTACTAATAAAAATGTATTGAGAACCTACTGTGTCTAGACACTGAGGTGGTACAGTAATACATGAAACAGTCACGGACTCTTACCTCAAAGTTTTTAGTCTAATGGGACCAACTCTTTCCTCAATTAACATATAAACATTGAGCTCTGTGCTAGGCACTGTGTAAGCTGCATGAGAGCTGGGGTTCTGGAAAAAGACTTTTTATTTAGGTAGAGCACGGATTTTTCTTTGCTTCACGGCTGTCTCTCTAATACCTAGAATGCAGTAGGTGCTCAACAAATATTTAATGACCGAGTGCATGATTGAATGAATTCAGATATAAAGATCAGATTTCCCCAGTCTTACAGGTGGTTCACAGTAGACACTCAGTGACTGACTAGGTAGGCTTCATTGAAAACTCCGAAACATGGCTCAGCAATTGAAAGCTAAGAGCTGAGAGCTTGTGAGACTCGAGTTTGGCTCCTGGAGCATGCGCAGTCCACATAAAAGGTGACGAGCAAAAAATACAGAGGGCGTGATTGCGTAGGCGCTGATTCTGATTGGCTACCGTAGGCGCGCGAGGGGTCGTGCCTACTCGTCGCCAAGTAAACAGGGGAGGTAGGGGCGGAGCCAAAGAGGCACAGCGACCTGGTTGGCCAAGAGGGGGTTGGGGGTGTTGCGGATTGGTCCCCTCCCGGACCTCAGCTGTGTGGAACGCGCCGGGTCCCGGAGCCGGCGGCCTAAGGAATGGACGAGACGAGCCCATTAGTGTCCCCGGAGCGGGGCCAACCCCCGGACTACACCTTTCCGTCCGGCTCGGGCGCTCACTTTCCGCAGGTACCGGGGGGCGCGGTGAGAGTGGCGGCGGCGGCCGGCCCGGTCCCCTCTCCGCCGGGCTCGCCAGGCCACGACCGGGAGCGGCAGCCACTGTTGGATCGGGCCCGGGGTGCGGCGGCCCAGGGCCAGAACCAAACCGTGGCCGCTCAGGTCCAAGCCTTGGCTGCCCAGGCCGCGGCAGCTGCGCACGCCGTTCAGGCTCCCCGCGAACGGAATGAGTTTCCCGAGGACCCGGAGTTTGAGGCGGTGGTGCGACAGGCCGAGGTGGCCATCGAGCGCTGCATCTTCCCTGAGCGCATCTACCAAGGCTCCAGCGGCAGCTACTTCGTCAAGGACCCTCAGGGGGTGAGAGCGGGGTAGGGATCGCGGCCGCCGACTCTGGGGAGGGTGGGCCTGTCCGTCGGAGTTTGGGGCTTCGCTCAGCTAGAGGGAGAAGGGGGGCTGAAAGAAAAGCTGCAAAAGGCATAAACTTTACAGTGTGGAGCCTCCTTTCCAGGATTTTGGAGTGCCACGGAGGACTGGAGATGGGGAGGCTCTGCGGAATAAAGGAATAAATCAGAACCCGTTTGGGGGGGGCGGGGAATGAGCGAAAAATTGAAAGAGGAAATTGACCAGATAGAGATGAGAGGCCCAGCGGTTTGGTGAGGCAACCTGCTTCTGAACAGAGACTATGGGGAGATGCTTTCTAGTAGATTCCGTAGCTTTAAACTACAGACTTGAGCTTGAGAAAGAACTACAGTCTTTCTTTTTGGAACCAGTGTTGTCGCTGTTAATTGAGGAGGACGTGTAACACATCAGGGACTCTTGAGGGTACAGTTCCAGCCTTCTGTGCTGTGGGGATTTCTCCTGCCACTTTCCCAGGTCTCTTATTGGCAGACGATGGTGATTGAGTGGGTGGAATCACCAGTTTTCATCTAGGGTTTCTTTTGGGAAATTATTCAAATCTCTTCTTATGGTTCCTCAAGCTTAGAACGGAGTTTAGAATCATGGGACTGTCAGCTGCCTTTTCACTTTCCTTTCTCTCCCAAGACTATCATATTGATAGTTTGTTTTTCAGCTAAGGCAGAGTGCTTGCTGACCTTTATCTTGTCCCTTGCGTTTGATTAAAGGGGGATGGGGATGGGATGGGGCATGGAGTGATCAGGGCATCTGAGAGGTGACCTTTATCCTTTTTCCTTTTTTATCGTAGGAAAAACAAATTTGATTTCCCTAGGTTATGGGAGCCCCATGAATTTATGAGGTCCAAAGGCAGTCAGGCAGTTGAGGTTTATATGCCATTCTCAGCTAAGGGATAGTGGCCCGGGGCTTCAAAGGGGAGGAGGGCAATTCCGGGGGAAGTTAAGAAGAGCAGATGTTTGATAATCAGTTTTTTACTTGCCATTCACTAAGTCTTTCAGATAAAAAAAGTAATCTCTGGTAATAGCTCTTTTTCTGGGCCAGGCCCCCAGGCCCCCTATCTAAGTTCTTTCAGGCGGTAAGGGAGAAGTAAAAGTTTTTCCTGAATCTGCTAGGTCTTGATTGCCTTCAGCTCCAAACAATCCACATAATCTGCTCCCCTTTAGTCCCACCTTTGAAACTTCCTCAAGAAGTACAGCTCAACAAGTTGAGTTGGTAGATTGCATCATCTTGTTGAACCAGCCTCTTAATCTTGAGAATAGGTCAGTGTAGTTAAAGTTGTTTCATTTCAGGAGGCAGTGCACAGGTGGGCTCTCAAAGTTAGACTTATTATTACACAGTCAGTTACTTAATAAGAGACAGTTCTATGGAAACAAAAGAAAAACAAAGGCTAATGATTGGAACAGACTACAATCCCAGTTTCTGAGTTCTGCAGGCAGCCAGCTGAGATTTAGAAATGTCCAACTTGAAGCAGCAGGAGTGAGGGCAGGCAGTGGCAATCTGATAGATTTTCCTGGTTTGCAGTTTGAATGTCTGGTGATCTTTGAGTGGCCTGCCCTTTTTCTTTTTTTTTTTTAAGGTTTTATTTATTTCTTTTTAGAGAAAGCAGAAGGAAGGGAGAAAGAGAGGGAGAGAAACATCCATTGGTTGCCTCTTGTATGAACCCTCAACCGAGGCATGTACCAAGTGGGAATCAAACCCCTGACCCTTCGCTTTGCGAATGACACCCACCAACTGAGCCACACGGGTCAGGGCAGAGTGGCCTACGTTTATTCTTTTGAGAACTGCAGAGATGTCACTGGAGTAAGAGTGGGTCAAAAAATATCAAGTCTTCTCTGCCGGATGGGCCACAATGGTTTAGTGCAGGGGTGTGCAACCAGGATAGCTGTGAATGCGGCCCAACACAAAACATAAATTTCCTTAAAACATTATGAGATTTTTTTGTGTGTGTGATTCTGTGTCCCAGTGTATTTAATGTGTGGCCCAAGACAACTCTTCTTCTTCCAGTGTGGCACAGAGACATCAAATGGTTGGACACCTCTGGTAGTGGAAAAATATATTATTATTTTACTTACTAGAATGATGATGTCAAAGCTCTGTCAAGTTTTCTCTGCATCTCTTTTGTGTGAACTCTTTAAATGGGTGATGTGCTATTTTGATAGGAGTGCTAAGTGGCAAGGATGGTCTGTGACTTGTAGCTCTTAATTAGGTTTATTGAATGATCTAGTTATTCTCCCAGATGTTGTTGTCCCTGAATTATCATCAAGAACCAGAGCACAATTCTGCTATCAACCCAGTTAACATAGACTGAGTTGGGGAAAGCTTTGAGAGTAACAGGTCTTTACAAATACCTGAAATAAGGAAACAGTTAGTTAAATGGAAAGCTCAAAGGGGAACCATCACTTCTAAAAGAAAACTAGGTGTCCTGAGGTTTAAGTGTGAGCAAGATCCTTTTATTTATTTTTTTTAATTGGGGAACCAGAAAGACACCTATAATGGGAGCGGTTTTTATTTCAGCTTGTTGACTGACTTTGCTAGGTACAGGAGCCGGAGTAAGGCTTTTGTTTTTCTCTCATGACACTGTTACAGCTCTGTTGGAAGTGTGTCAGATCAGCCGAGAAGTGATCAGGTGCTCTGACAGATCAGAGTAATATGATCTCTGAATTCTACCTAGCAGGTAAAGTACTACTACCTCAGTATATAGGCCACAGAGAATGACAGACTAGGGGGATGTTCCATGGTGGTTCGCAGGATCCCAGTCTCTGTAATTCCCTGGCCACTGTGCCTTCTCAGAGAGGATGTTGAAACACATAGGCCCTGACAAAACTTATTAATGTAAACATCCTGCTCCCACTGAGGAAAATGCGGTTTAGAGCAGAGGACCACCTTCTAAATACTACAGTGGCCCACAGACTTACTATAGTTGGTCTTGTCATCTTTGGCCCTGCTCCAAATGGGTTTATATTACTTAACGAATACTCGGATAGCACTTATTATATGCCAGGTACTGGTTTAAATGCTTTACAAGTAATAACTTGCTTAATTCTCATAATACCCTCAGAAGTAGGTGCTACTATTATCCCCATAGATGGGGCTACCAAGGCACGCAGTGTAAGTAATTGGCCCAGGGTTCCAGAGCTGGTAAGTGGGAGGCAGGAGACAGGCCCAGGCGAACTGGCTCCAGAGTTCATGCTCCTAAACACTGATCTGCTAGTTAGGCAGTGGTCATGTTCTTTCTCAACCAAATACTGGCGGGTGTCTTTGTAATTTGAGTGGTTTTAGAGTTTGTTTTCTATGAATAAGGAGAGTATTCTTGAGTATTCAGTAACATGGATGATTATGTGAAGTGACCATTAGCTTTGGAAATTAGGCCAAAGTGGTTTTATATATCTGTCTAGGAAACCTGCAGAGTGCTCACACAAACTACCATATTTTGCTGTGTATAATGGACACTTTTTTGCTGGAAGTTTTGAGGGAACGATAAGGATGTGCATTATACATAGATATAATGATTACATGCCATAGGTATACTAATCCTGTGTATAATACACACAAAGACGTGGGTGTGTATTATACATGGGAGCGCATTATACATGGCAAAACATGGTAGGTACTGAGCAAATGTTAACAGAATTGAAATGGACTGAGGCCTGTATATAGTCCTGAAAGACACTTGTCCCCTCTTCTGTGTCATGTCCTTCCATCCTTCCTACCCTACCATTCCCTCATTTGTTTAGTCTAGACATTATTATTTAATAAAACCCTTGTTGTTCTGAGATAACAGTTATTACAAATGCTTTTAGAGTTGAGGAATTGCTTTCTGATTCTCTTTATGGTGGAAGGAAACTGAGAAGTTTGAAGTGTTACTCTGTAAATGATGCTTGCCTGTGCTCTTGGCCTTCAAATTCTGCTTTCTTTCAGTGGAAGTATTTAAGCCTTAGTCCTGGCATTGTTCAGCCTCACTATAGTAGGAATGTCTTGTTTTCCCTTTTGGGGACCAGCTTGCTGAACTCCACATGGTACTTCCATTGAACTGACTGTTGGGTTTTGGGACATGCCTTACACTGTCCTATGGCTCATTGTCCAGTTTCAGCAGTCAGTGGACTTCTTAGTCTTTGTCTGAGGGGAGAGCCCAGGATTCCAGGGGAGCAGACAGAGAGAAGGACTGCTAACTTAAGCCTCTTGCTAGCCACTTTGAATAGGAATGCAATTCTGATTTATGACATAAATATATGTATTTGACTCTTTCCAAGTGGATAAGTAAGTTTGTTTACCTTTAAGACTAAATTGATTCTTTTGGAGGGAAGAAGAGAGCTCTTTTTCTAGACCTCTCAAATCCTGAAAGGGCTTCTGGAAGGAACTGGTCTCATGATTGACTGAATGTTGTTGGAGACATGTGCTTGCCTCGCCAGTTCCTAATATGAATACTTACTTAATGCAGACAGGTGGGTATATGTTTTCTGCTGTGATCGGCCATTCAGGAAGTGAAACTCACAGGAAAATGTCTTATGACCCAGAGTAGCTTGAGTGGGCTGTGGGGAGAGGGAGAGTCATATGATATGAAGATGAATCACTTGAATAGCATATTTACTTCTCTTATTTTGAAATGACCAGTTTGGGAACTGCAGGGAATGAGAAAAATGAAAAACAACCTCAGAGAGCTGACTGGTCTGGGGAAGAAATCTTCAGGAGGGGGGACCATAATTTCTAGGTTGCAGCTGCATCCCGTATTTCTGTGGACCTTTGAGGATTAAGTTACTGTCTTCCAGAGAAGATGGATTTAATCTTTGTGGCCCCTCATGTCCTGGTCCCTTGCCTATGAGAATGACTTAAGAGAACCCCATTCTAACCAGGTAACAGATTCTTTTTTCTGCTGTGATTTTCTTTTCTGTTGCTTTCTTATTTTGTCATTCCTAAACTTTTTATTGTAAGGCTTCATTAACATTCAGGGGATGGGATAGTAAGGCTGATAGAGGAAATCAACCATCGATGAAGGAATTTTCTTATCCTCATTCCATAATACTTTTTGAGTCTTTATGTAATTGATGCAGAGCAATAATGTGTATGTATGTGCCTTGGAAGTTGGGGTTTCATGGTGTAAAATTTGATGTACTACACGTACCAGACTTGGCACCTTCTTTGGCTGCAGCCCTTTCTATCAGTCGATCTCTTAGCTGCATACATGAACTGGTGTGTTCTCTTTATATACTGAGGACAGGCCAGTGTCTTGACTGTAAGTAGAGGTTGTCTGCCCATGCCCTCTTTCTATACCTGCTGATCTGGTCCGGGAGCTACTGTAATCATCTTGCCTTTCACATCCTCTTTTTCTTTTGTCTATGTAGAAGATCATCGCTGTCTTCAAACCCAAGAATGAAGAGCCATATGGGCACCTTAATCCTAAGTGGACCAAGTGGCTGCAGAAGCTGTGCTGTCCCTGCTGCTTTGGCCGTGATTGCCTTGTCCTCAACCAGGGCTATCTCTCAGAGGCAGGGGCCAGCCTGGTGGACCAAAAACTGGAACTCAACATTGTACCCCGTACAAAGGTCAGTGACCTGTCCAGGGGGTCTTACTGACCAGAGTTTTCCTGGGCCTGAGCCCTGCTACATGTTAATGAGGCCATTAGGTCCAGTGAGGGCCTCTTTATGCCCTGAGCTTAGGGCTCTCAGACCTTTTTTACAGGGGCGTGGTGTGGAGAGGTAGGTTTAGGCTTATGATGTGATCGTCTGATGAAAGCTCTCCTGAGAAGGATAAACATAAAGCTTTTGCATACAATTTTAGGAAGTTACCAACCCTCTGTTGCATGTATATGGGCTCCCTTTGCATCTCTGGATCCCAGATAATCCCAAGATGATTAAAACCTAGCTACTTCTGCAGCTCACTCCCTTAGATTTCCTGGCCATTCCAGGATTTAGATACAGTCTAGAATGGACTTATTGATTTCTGCTAAGTATTTACATAAGCACTTATGCAAGGAGGACTAGAATGGGCTGAGGATTAGAGTAAAAATCTGGCCTGAACCCCTACATGGAACTAACATGGAACTGTCACTCATCTTTATGCTATGAAATTCTGGTACTTGTCTAAACATAACAAAATTGTGTCCCAGGAGGCAAATCTACACTTAGAATGGATTTGCGCACACATTATATGTAGTATAGACTTAGTTAAGGTTCTAATGAAGGGTCTGGATCATACTCCTTTACCCCCCAAAAATGCTTAAATACAGAATTAATTGCACATCATATCAGGAAATTTTATTGAGTCCAGGTTAAGAACCACTGTAACTACAAGGTGTTCCGTGAAGCTTTTCAGGGGTTATGAGGGGAAGGAATCTGCTAGGCAGCATATGACCATTTAAGGACGTGTCATCACCAACTGAGTGTGTGGCTGGCTGAGGTCTAGTTAGCAACTCGAGGTAGAACTCCGATATGAGGCCCTAAAGCTCTAGAGGTGTGTTTGTAACTCGGGGTCTTAATTCTCTTGGAGAATCTGAGGAAAGCTATTGATCTTGTTTATCACCAGAACACACATATTTGCAATTATTGTTTTACATATAATTTCATGAGATGGTTCATAGACCAGTTGAAGTCTATCCATTAACCTTGTAGGAACGGTGCTTCTAGATTTAAAACTTCTGCTTGAAGTTTTCTTCACAGGTTTAGTTAGCTGACCCTGTATGCAAAGAGACTGATCAGTAGACAGGAGCTTCCCTTCAAATCTGTTTTTATGTTTTCCCAAGATATTTTAGAAGAAAATGTGCTTGTTGTGGACTGTGTCAGCTCCTTTGCCACCAAACTCCAAAAAATAAGCCAGCTAGTTTATAAGTCTGTAGAAGTCAGGGACCATTTCTTGAAATATCCTTCTCCCATTCTCAGCACCTAGGAGAGTAGTATACTCATAGTAAGCATCCTGTAAGGACTAACTGAATTAGTGAATGAATATCAAACTATGAGAAGCAATACCAGAGATATCCCCCAACTTCAGGTCTAGGAGAGACTGTTTGATTGCAATTCTGGGTTTATAGGTCCCATTTAACATCTAATTTGCTGCCTGGCCTTGCGCAGCTCACTCTGTCCCTTCATGCTTTAGTCCTCTCTGTGTGCATATAGTTAAATAGCACACACTGACCATCTTATATGATAATTAATGCTCCTATGATCTCCTGTCTAACTGGAAATTCTATGCCCCTCCTAAACTCTAGAAACTCTTTTAAATACTTCTTCCTCTGTACTCTTTCATTTCCTTTTTTCACTAGGTAAATGGCAGAGCATCCGCGGCCCCCGTGCCTGCCTGCTTTGCCCGTACTTCTGGAGAGCAGTGCCTAAAAATCAGAGGGCTTAAGTTTGAATTCTGGCTCTGAAGTTTTTTACCGGGTAACCCTTGGACAAGTCACTTAAGAGCCCCCTCTCCGCCCCAATCCCCGCTCAGTTTCCTCACTATAAAAACAGGGGTATAAATAGTTCCTACTTTATAAGGTAGGTGTTAAAACTACACAAGATAATCCATGTAAAACACATAGGCCCGTGCCTGGCCCAGTGTGAACACGCCATACATCTTAGCCTGTGATACTTTTATGACTATTCTAATCATCAGTGTCACCACCCCACACACAGTCCCTTTCTTCCCCATCTCTGGCCTTCTTCTTTCCCTATTAGAGAACCTTAGTGAGGCCTTTTGCATCAAAAAGTCAGCAACAACAAATACTTGTCTTTTCCGAGATGAAGTTGAAACAGAACTTTGCTAACATACTACAGCTGGAGGTAGTCAGAGGAAACCTCTTCCCTCCCTGCCTCCCGACCCTGCGATCGGATTCAATCCAGTTGATTAGAGCATCTGTCACTAAGGAAATGGGGCTAACGCTGCAATGGAGCCTCTAATAGTAAGGCTGTAATTCTCATTCAGGAGCTGTCTCTGCTCTCTGTTCCTGCAAGGTTTCAGGTTATTATCGTTTCATTAGTCACAGGGACAAAGGGGGCTGTTACAAAGAGTGATCACAAGTAAGTCTGATGTGGGAAGGGTGGTTTATGGCCTACAAGAGCCAGAGTTTCCCCATAGAAACTGGTAGGATAGTCTTAAGGAAAGCCTTTTTTCCCTTTTATTCCTGTGCTTAAGTTTCCTGATTTATAAGACCAAGAGTGCCATCCTACAATACCTTGCACATACATTTTAGGTGCTCCTTTAACACTGGATGGACATGTTGAAGGAGGGAGGAGAGGAGGGAATGATTTTGCCCCTTTCTATCTCTGTTGTTCATGGGCAAAATAGTTATTTATAATGAATTTTGCAAGGCTTAGGAAAAGAAGAATTTTTCTCATGAATTTGATTTCACGTATTTACATGTAAAAATCCACTTGTTGCTGTCTGAGAAAGAAACTTGTAACTCATTCATTCTTTCACGTAATATTTTTGAGCTTGTGACAGCTTCTGTGTTAGGTACTAGGAATGCTAATGTGAATCAAGTGTTCTTTTCCTCCCTTAATTTCATTAGTCTTAAGAGGTAAGTTAGATATACATGTGGATGACCACAAGGCAGTATAATAAGTGTGATAATATGTATACATATGGATTATGGATCATAGTGATGTCATCACAATTTGACAATCAGGTATAATGTTGATAGTTAATTAAAAATTTTTCTGAATAGGCAATGCATACATCTAGTGCTAAAATCAGAAGCCACAGGAGAATAAGCAAAGAAGGGTAATTCAGCCTCCCTCCCACCCCTGTCTTCCAGCCACTCAGTTGCCTTCCTCAGAGACAGCTGCTATTACTAGTTTCTTGTGTAATATTCCACATATAGTCTGCATAAATACTCATACAAATGACAGTTCTCTAAAAATTAAAACCAACTTTAATGTTTATTTTTTGGACATGAATAATTGTACATCATACAAAATTCAGAAGGAAATAAAAGTAAATTGCAATTTGTTTTTATTTGGAGAGAAAATAGGCATTAGGACATCTTTTCCTAACCCAGGAGGTAGCTGTACTAATCGGTGTAATTCATGTCAGCTCCTGTAACAACCCCTGAGTCACAGTGGTTTCATATAATAGGACTTTATTTCTTGCTCACATCATAGATGCATGTCAGTTAGGCAGGTTTCTTAGATCCTGTCATTCCACATAGTGACAAGGGCTCTAGTATCCTTCTGTGATGTGGGTCTGCCATCTCAGCCTTTCATTTCCAGCTGCAGAGATTGGGGAATATGATACAGATCATGGGAGATTTTAAGGCCACGCCTGAAAGCGATGTACATCTATCACTTTGTCAACATTCTGTTGACCCAAACTCGTCATATACTCTATTTTAGCTACTAGGAACACTGAGAAATGTATTCTTTCTGTGTGTGCTGGAAGAGGAACAGTATTGGTGAGCATCAGGCTATTCTCTGCCAGAGTGGGCTGGTTCCTTAAACTTGACTCTAACCTGGGTGTCTCCTCTTTCCACTGTATGCAGGTAGTACACATGGCCAGTGAGACCTTCAACTATAGTGCCATTGACCGAGTGAAGTCCAGGGGCAAGCGGCTTGCACTAGAGAAAGTGCCAAAAGTTGGGCAGCGGTTTAACCGCATTGGGCTACCGCCAAAGGTATGGGCTACACTTACATGACTTATTTATTTATTTTTTAAAAGTTACCTTTTTTAAAAAAAAGATTTTATTTATTTATTTTTAGAGAAAGGGGAAGGGAGGGACAAAGAGAGGGAGAGAGACATCAATGTGTGAGAGATACATTGATTGGTTGCCTCCTGCACACGCCCCAACCAGGAACCAGGCCTGCAACCCAGGCATGTGCCCTGACTGGGAATCGAACTGGCTGCCTTTTGCTTTGTGGAACGATGCCCAACCAACTGAACCATGCAGGTCAGGGCTTATGTGTCTTATTAAAGGTGATGATTTGTAGTGGCCTAGTCATCCAAGTGGCGGAGCAAGGTGTCTGTGGACTGGCAGATGGGCATGTGAATAGCCTGCCGTGAGGCACTATTCTTCCTCATTTCTGTCAAGGGCCTAAGACCCTAACTTTCTCATTTTACTTTTCTTGACCATTTGGATGGGCAATCACCGTCACAACCTTTTTCTCCTTGCAAGGGAGATGAAGTAACTGTCTTGAAAATGTTTTCCTACTCTGGTATAAAATCCACAAGGCCTTAGTGGGTCCCTGTCTTACTCTTGGGATCTTTGAACTTGGGCTGTAGGAAAATAATTTTCTTCCTTTATCTTGGTTGCAGGTTGGTTCATTCCAGCTCTTTGTTGAAGGCTACAAAGATGCAGATTACTGGCTACGGCGATTTGAGGCAGAACCTCTCCCTGAGAACACTAACCGGCAGCTACTGCTGCAGTTTGAACGGTTGGTGGTGCTGGATTACATCATCCGCAACACTGGTGAGTAGCTGTGGGTAGTTCTCTACCTGTGCCATGCAGACCATAGAGGCACAGTGGGAGGCCTGGAGCCTTGCAGGGCTTGGCGTCAGAGGGTCTTGATAAAAACTTGATGAATTTTATCAAGTCAAAAAGGTTATGCATGTTTGGGGAGGGTCTCAGATCATACTTTTCCAAGACAAGCTTTGCCCAGGTGCATTATGTGCATTTATCAGAGGTGGTGAGGCCTGGAGCCATATTTGCCTTTTATCTTAACCTCTTTCCTGATCCCAGACAGAGGACATTTGGCCTTTCAAAGCAATGTAAGAGTACTAAGAGTACTCTTATCCTTGGTCCCTAGTCATTCTTACAGCAGCAAGACCTGTCATAGGACAGTTTTGTCTTTAAGTACCTCATGTAAGAGGAGTCTTGCAGTATTTGTCATTTTGTGACTGGCTTATTTCATTTAGTACAGTGTCCTTATGGTTCATATGTTGTAGCAGATGTCAAAATTTCTTTCCTTTTTAAGGCTGAATAATAGTCCATTGTATGTATGTCCCACATTTTGCTTCTCTGTTCATCTCTGGTGGACACTTGGATTGCTTCCACATTTTAGCTATTATGACTAATGCTGCTGTTAACATGGTTGTACAAATAACTCTTTGAGACTTCGCTTTCAATTCTTTTGAGTGTATACCAGGAAGTAGAATTACTGGATCATGTGGTAATTATCTCTTTAATTTTTGAGGAACTGCCACACTGTTTTCCCCTGGACCATTTTACATTCCCATCAGCACTGTGGAAGAGTTCCCGTTTCTCCATATCCTCGTCACCACTTGTTATTTTCTTGTTTTTTTGATAGTAGCCATCCTAATGGGTGTGAAGTGGTATCTCATTGTAATTTTGGTTTGCATTTCCCTAATGTTTAGTTATGTTGAACATCTCTTCAGGTGCTTTTTGGCCATTTATTATCTTCTTTGGAGAAGTGTCTTTTCATGTTCTTTGTTCATCTTCAAATCAGGTTGTTTTATTGTTGTTGAGTTGTAGGAGTTCTTTGTAGATACATGCATCAATTTGCAAATACTTCTGTTCTCTGGGTTGCTTTTTTGCTCTTTTGATAGTGTCCTTTGATGTGATTATATTATTTTATTTTCATGAAGTCCAGTTTATGAGAGATGGGGAGGAAGGGACAAAGAGAGGGAGAGAAACATTGATGTGTGAGAGATACATAGATTGGTTGCCTCCTGCACGTGCCCCAACCTGGAACCAGGCCTGCAACCCAGGCATGTGCCCTGACTGGGAATCTAACTGGCAACTTTTCACTTTGTGGAACAATTTTCCTCTCCCCCCTCCCCCTCTCCTCTCTCTCTCCTCTCTCTTCTCTTTCTCTTCTTTTTCTTTTGTTGCCTGTGCCTTTGGTATTATATCTAAGAAATCATTGCCCATTCCAATGTCATAAAGCTTTTGCCCTATGTTTTCTTTTAAGAATCTTATAATTTTAGTTCTAAGATTTAAAAGGCCATGGATCCATTTTGAGTTACTTTTGTATGCAGTGTTAGGAAGGGTCCAACCTCATTCTTTTGCATATGGATATCCAGTTTTCCCAACACCTTTGTTGGAATGACTTTTTTCCCCCATTGAATGGCCTTGCAACCCTTGTCAAAGATATTTGATCATGTATATGTAAAGGTTTATTTCTGGACTCTATTCTATTCATTGGTCTGTATGTCTTTACAGTGTGTTCATTACTATACTGTTTGGAAATCAGGAAGTATGAGTCCTCTACCTTTGTTCTTTTTCTGGACTGTTTTTGTTATTCAGAGTCTCTCGAGATTCCATAATCATTTTAGGGGTGGGTTTTTCTGTTTCTGCAAACAAAATTGTTACGGTTTTGATAGAATTGCACTCAGTCTATAGATTGCTTCAGGTATTATTAACATCTTAACAATATTGTCTTCCAGTCTGTTAACATGCGATATCTTTCCACTTATTTATGTCTTTAATTTTTTTCAGCAGTGTTTTGTAGTTTTCATTGTATAGGGCTTTAACCTCCTTGGCTAATTCCTAAGTATTTCATTCTTCTTGATCCCATTATAAATGGAATAGTTTTCTTAATTTTTTTTTTAGCTTGTTCAGTGTTAGTATATTTCTGGTTGCTGTGTGTTGACTTTGTATTCTGATGCTTTGATGAATTTATCGATTAATTCTAACAGTTTTTGTGTGAATCTTTAGGGTTTTCAACATGCACGATTATATCATCTGTAAACAGAGTTCATTTTACCTGTTCCTTTCTTACTAGATGACTTTTATTTCTCTTTCTTGCATAATTGCTCTGGTCTTCCAGTAGTATGTTGAATGGAAATTGTGTAAATGAGCATGCATGTCTTGTTCTAAATCTTAGATGGAAAGCTTTTGGTCTTTTAACCATTGAGTATAATGTTTGCTATGGGTTTTTTGTATATAACTTTTGTTATGTGGTAGGAGTTTCCTTCTGTTTCTGGTTTGTTGAGCGTTTTTATCATCAATGGATGTTGAATTTTGTCAAATGCTTTTTGAGATCATCAGTCTGCCAATGGGATGTTTTACACTGATGTATTTTCCTAAGTTGAAACATTCTTACATTCCAGTAATAAATATTGGTCATGGTGTATAGTCCTTGCAATATGCTGCTCCATTTAGTTTGCTGGTATTTTGTTGAGGATTTTTGCATCAATATTCATAAGAGGTAGTGGTCTGTAGTTTTCCCTTTGTGTCTTTGTCTGACTTTTGTATCAAAATAATGCTGCCTCAGAATGAATTATAAAGCGTTCTCTCTTCAGTTTTTTGGAGAAGTTTGAGGAGGATTGGTGTTAGTTCTTTAAATGTTTGGTAGAATTCACCAATGAAGCCATAAGGTCCAGGGTTATTATTTGTTGAGAGATTTTTGATTACTGATTCAATTTCCTTAGTAGTTATAGGCCCACTCAGATTTTCTGTTTTTTCATGGTTTGTGCTCGGTAGTTTTTGTGTTTCTAGGTATTTGTTCATTTTATCTGGGTTTTCCCATTTGTCGGTATAAAGTGCTCACAGTACTCTCGTCATTTGTTTATTTGTTTTTTGTAGTAATGTCCCCACTTTAATTTCTGATTTTAGTAATTTGAGTCTTCTTTTTTCCCCTTAGTCTTTATAGCTTGTCAATTTTATTTATCCAGTGAAACAGCTGTTATATTTTGATTTTAGAGCACTTAGTTCATTTATCTATAATGTCTGTATAGATATGATTAGATTTTCATCTGCCATCTTGTTTTCTCTGTTTTCTGCCCATTTTCTTTTTCTGCCCTTTTTTTCTATCATTTTTCCCTTCTCCTTTCTTTATTTTAAATTATTATATTTTTATATCTAACAATATAATATATGATTAAATTGATATTTCAAATCAATGGATAAAATTATATTTTTATATCTGTCTAACAATATAATATATGATTAAATTGATATTTCAAATCAATGGAGGCTTATTCAACAAATAAGGTGCATGGACCATAATTATTTGAAATAAAACAAATATAGAGCCCTCTTTCACACATTATATAAGAAATATTCAGGTGAGTTAAAAATCAGCTTGTAGAATCTAAGGAATTTCAGAAGAAAATAGAACTAATATTTTTCATGACCTGAAGTATAAAATATTCAACCCCAGAAGCTATAAATATTGACAATATGACTATATTAAACATTTAACTATATAGTAATATACATATAAAAAAGTTAAAGGACAAGGAATAGAATAGAAAAGTATTTGCAACACATCTAAAACATGGTTAATAGCTTTTTTTTCCTTAGGGAAAATGGATAAAGAATACCAAAAAGTCACTTAAAGCTTTTTAAAAAAAATAATAGAAACAGGCAAGAAATATACTAAAACAGGTTTAGTTTCAACAAATAGTAAAGGAACAATTAAAATAACATCATTGTCACAGATTAATGAGTATTAAAAATATTGGTAATATCAAGTATTGGCAACTGAAAGGAACTGGATATTCATAGAAACTTTTTCTTCATCTTAAAGCAGTCCCTTTAGCATATTTTGCAGTGCTGGTTTGGTGGAGGTGTATTCTTTTAGCCTTCTTTTGTCTGGGGAACTTATTTCTCCTCCCATTTTAATTGAGAGCCTTGCTGGGTAGAGCAGTCTTGGTTGCAGGCCTTTGCTTTTCATGACTTGGAATATTTCATGCCATTCCCTTTTGGTTTGCAGTGTTTCTGTGGAGAAGTCAGATGCTAGCTGTATCGGGGCTCCCTTATATGTTACTACCTCTTTCTCCCTTGCTTGCTTTAGGATTCTCTGTTTGTCTTTGCTAGTTGCCATTTTAATGATGATGTATCTTGGAGTGGGACTCACTGGGTTCCCCTTGAATGGGACCCTCTGTGCTTCCTGGACTTGAGTGATGTTTTTTCTCTCCTCCCATTAGGGAAGTTTTCCATCATTGCTTTTTCAAATAGGTTCTCTATCCCTTGCACCTCTTCTTCTCCTTCTGGTATCCCTATTATATGGATATTATTACGTTTCAGGTTGTCCTGCATTTCCCTAAATGCCTCTTCATTCTTTTTGAGTCTTTTTTCATTTTCTTGCTCTTTCTGGGAGTTTTTTTCTACCTTACCCTCCAGCTTGCTGATTCGGTCCTCAGCTTCATCTAGTCTGCTTTTGATTCCTTCTGCTGTGTTCTTCAATTCAGATTGTATTCTTCATTTCCTGTTGTCTCTTTGTCTTTTCTTTTGGTGGTTACCCTAAAGATTACCATGTGAATACTTGATTTTCCAAATCTAATATTAAATGGTACCTTTACTATTTTCTTAGATAATGCAAAGATCTTAGAACCCCTTAGTTCCAATTATCCTTCTCCAGACTTTTATATTATTAATGTTATGCACTTTAATTATATATGTATATGTGCATACATATATACATATATAAGCATATTTATGTATAAAACTGTAAGACAATACTGTTGTCAATAATAATTATGGAGACTTTTGAGCATATACAAATAAGCAGAATAATGAACCAGTCATCCCACCTCTTAGCCTTTTCTGAAATCAGCAGGTGTTCTATGGGAAAAGAAGCCACAGTTGCTGGGCTCCCTCTCTGGATTTCCTTTCTCCCAGATCTTGACACTTTAACTCTTAATGATCTTGTTAAAATCTCTAAAACCTTCAAGAGATTTAAAAATATTTTATCCATATTTTGTAGTTGTCCTCAGTAGAATGACTGGTCCAAGTGTCCCAAAATACGTAGTCCACCATGCAAACAAAGTTCACTTCAGGGTTTGTTTTTTTTCTTTTTTCCCCCCTAACTTTGTATTTTTTGTATTTCTGCTCACAGATCGGGGCAATGACAACTGGCTGATTAAATATGAATATCCAATGGATAGTTCTGGCTCTCGGGTAAGGGATTCATCTATACCTTGAAGAAGGGGGTAAGGTGGGGTATATGCATTCAGAAGAACTACGATAGCACATGTGTTTAAAATTGATAGGTGAATATTTGGTAGAGTTTTCCTCTCTTTTAATATGCTACTATATGATGTTAATAGGAATAGAATAAAGAGAAGTTCAAATAAGTTTGGGACATACTTTATGCCTTTCTTAGAGATTCACATTGCACAGTAGCATACTAAAGGTCTGAAAAGTTGTACAGTAAGCGAACCTGTTTAATTTTGATTGGCCCAGTGATTTCTAAACTTTTTTGACCATGGAACACTTTTTTCACAACAGCCCACAATTCCATAGAACATCAGTTTAGAGAAAGCTGCTTTCTGCAGCTTTTTTTACTCACTCGTTCTTTCTGTACTTCACCACACTTCTCTATCCCTGCTCAGTCTGCCCATTGAAAAAAATTATTTGAAAGGCTACCTGGAGAAGGACAGGCATTGATTTTCATTCCTCATGTTTTGTTTTTTTTTTTCCATCAAGCTTTACTGAGATATAAAAGAGCATTGTGTAAGTTTATGGTGTATGATGATTTGATACCTGTATATATTGTGAAATGTGTACCACAACAAGATTAGTTAACACATCTTCACTTTTTTCTTTAATAATCATTCTCAAATTTTGTGCATTAGAATTACCTGAAGAACATATTAAAAATAGTATAAATTCTTCAAGCCTTTTCCCCCATTATGTTGGGTACAAGTCAGGATTCCGTACTTTGACAGACTACAGGGGATTCTCATGCAGGTGTCTCAGACCCACGTTCCCTGTTACTGTCATGGCCCCGGTAAACCTAAAGCATGGAGCCAAGTACGTAGTCACGAGAGTGTCTGGCAGGGACAGTCACAACACGTAGCCTGCCCCACTTTTTTTCAGCTCTTGTCCTTTTCCTTTTTATGTATCAGTGATACAAGGGGGAAACATCCCTTGTGCAAGAGCAGCCAACTGTTACCTTCCATGATTCTGTTATTCACTGGAAAAATGTGGTCATCAACCAGTGAAGTGGCATCTGAGTCAAGGTCCACAAAGAAGGATGTTGATCAACTGGTACAGATTTTTTTTTTTTTTTTCATAACCTCAGGAGTCTCATTGCCCTTCCCTAGCAGGAATGGATTATAGTTATCTTTTGTTATTGTCATTTCCCTTCTTATCAACTACTGTGGCAACTCCTGAGAAGTACACCTTTTCTAAGATGAGAAAGGGACTCTGAGAACCTTGAACAAGCCAAGTCAGGTACCATAAATGTGTTAAAGCTCAGGTAACAATGTGGAAACCAGTTCAGAGGTTGAGTAAGGATTGACCCCCGAGGAGGATGAGAGGGGATGATTTGCTACTACTTTAAAGGGCCTGAGGCACATGGGACCCTAAGTATTTAGTGTTTCCTTGCTCTTTAGGACTCAGACTGGGTGGTGGTGAAGGAACCTGTTATCAAGGTGGCTGCCATTGACAATGGGCTGGCTTTCCCCCTGAAGCATCCTGACTCCTGGAGGGCATGTACGTCTTAAGACCACTTTGGTCTAGCTCTTCTCTTGCTAGGTCTCTTTTCTCAGCTGTGCAAAGTAGATGAAAATACCTGTATCATAGAACTGTTTTAAGAATTAATGAAATGAAATAATGCAGCTTGTACACTTTAGTGCAGTGGCTGCCACATGGCAGCGACTCCATAATGTAAGCTAGTATTATGCTTACCTTATATCATTCCCATTAGAAGCATAAAGTTAAGTTTTCTCATCTCCGCTTTGCATTTTTCTTATCCTTTCTGAGGACTATCTTTAAAAAAAAATCGTGTTTAAAAATAAACTGTTGACAGTGTACTGTCTTCCTTGTTGGCATCCTGGAAGCCAGCTCCTCCCATTATTACTGAGAACCTTTTAGAAAGGGGGAGAGATACAGGTAGGGGATCATTAGCGCCTTGGCAGCACTAGTTTGTCTTTTCAGAAAGAGTGTCTCAATGTCTCAGGGGCAAATCCTTCTAGGGTGGTTGACCCTTGTAGGTAGGCTGGTGTCTCGAAAAGTCATGTAATACCTGGGAAAGAGCTTGAGTTCTGGGATTAGGCAGACCTGGGTTTGAATGCTAGTTTGTCCACTTGTTGTGTAACCTTTAGGTTCACAGCTCTTGTAACTTTTCTGTTGTCTATCAAGGAAGAGGTGAAGGACACAGATGGGCAGGGATTTTTTTCAGTACCAGCTTTGCTTTTGACCTTCCCTCTTTTCAGATCCTTTTTACTGGGCCTGGTTGCCCCAGGCCAAAGTTCCATTCTCTCAGGAGATCAAAGATCTGATTCTTCCAAAGATATCGGACCCTAACTTCGTCAAGGACTTGGAGGAGGACCTGTATGAACTCTTCAAGGTTAGCCCTGGAAATGTTAGCCTTGTAACTGTGTAGAAGAATGAATTCTTAAAGGTTTTTCTAATTGGTCCTAAAATAAGCCAAGGGAGCATGGCTAACACTCTTCCGGCACCTTTCTTGACTTCTGTTCTGAATCAGCGAAGAACAAGATTCCCACATGGGGACCGCAGGATCTAGTTTGGGTTGGTTTGAAGAAAGTTGGCAGCTCTGATGAATCACACTGGTGTGTAACCTGTGTGACATGTGGCTGCAGTGAATCCGCAGAGCTTTTATTTTCTAATGGCACACTAGAGCCTGGAGTTCTTTAGAGTTAATAATGAGACTCAGGACAATACACTTGTTCTCTGTTTCCCCAACTGTGAAATGGAATTCTTGGGGCGATAGTTAGCTTTGCTGAGCCTCATAAGCCTTGTGTAGGTTCCTTTATTAGGAAGTTTCTAATTAGGGCAGGAAAATGGGTTCTTCTGAGGGATTCATGCAGGTTCCATCTCCTGTCTGCCCTTCCTTTGCAGAAAGATCCTGGTTTTGACAGGGGACAGTTCCATAAGCAGATTGCTGTCATGCGGGGACAGGTAAGCCTGGGACCTCTCCTCGTGTCATCCCTGGGATCTCCCTGGGAGGGTTGTAGGCTCCTTTCGAGTTAATGGGTAAAGATTGTACTTTATACTCTCAGTCTATGTCATACGTATTTGTGACTCTACATTAACACATGAGAGGAAAGGTAGCCTTCCCCTGTCTCCCACCTCTTCCATGGTATCTGCTGGTTGGTGATGCACTGAACTGTGTGCTTACTTCTATGCCACTTGCTGGATAGTTCATTGGTAAATTTACCTAGTGGTCCCTTGTCCTCAAGTTGCTTGAGGTGGACCATATACCTTGCTGGTTATGAGCTAGTCTCTGGAGTCAAACTGCTTTACCACTTACATGCTTTATGGCCTTGGACAAGAGCCTCTGTTTCCTCGTTTAGAAAATGGGACAGTAGTAATGCTTTGCAGAGTTGGCCAGAGGATTACATGAGATAATGCATATCAAACATTTAGTAAAAACATTGCCTGGCACATGCTAAGCACTCAGATACAGGCTTGGTTATTATGTCATATTATTTCTACACTTTCCATTTCACCTAAAAAGAGAGCTAAGGAAACACCCAGGGCATTATTGACCTTCCAAAGTACAGTAAAGAATATGCTTGAAAAATTGTTTAAAAACTCTGTAGGACACTGACATTCGACTTACCGTGTTGAAGCCTTCTTAAAGAGAGTTGGAATGGCCAAGTGAAGTGGTTAAGGATACAAACTGCGCTCAGAGTGCCTGGGTTTAAGTCCTGGCTCTGCCATTTACTAGCTGTGAGATCTTGAACAAGTTAATTAATTTCTTCTTTTACTGTCTTCATTTGTAATATGGGATTAATAATAGCATCTACCTCACAGGGTTAGTATGAGATGAGGGATTTAAAACATGGTACCCGGCATATTGAAATACTTGAAGTGTGTTAGCTATGTTGAACCCCATAAAGTTCCGTGAGCATCTGGCTCCTCCCAGCATGTAGGGGGCCAATGTATTAGTCATATCTTTATTTGCCTACGAATCACACATTGAAGCAAAATGAGCCTCTGTCCTAAAGAAATCTGACATACCGCACGGAAAGGAGGATACAACCTTCTACCTACGTGAGTCGTAATCATAGTGAACCGAAAGGGAAGAGTGAAAAAGCCCCAGAGAAGTGACTTGAGTGGTAGTTGGTTACTCACTCTAAAAGCTTCTAACCAAGAGTTAGATAAAGAATTCAGAATGTGAGGGAAATCCTATTTATTTATTTAGTAAAGATTTTATTTATTTAGAGAGGAGAAGGGAGGGAGGAAGAGAGGGAGAAAAACATCAATATGTGGTTGGTTGCCTCTGGTGTGCCCCCTACTGGGGACCTGGCCTGCAACCCAGGCATGTGCCCTGGAGTGGGAATGGAACCAGCAACCCTTTGGTTCTCAGGTTGGCACTCAAGCCACTGAGCCACACCAGCCAGGGCTGGAAATCCTCTTTAAATGACATGTTCTCTAGAATTATATGTCTGCTATAAATTTCAAGCCTCAATAATGTGATCCTCTTCTAGATTCACCATTCTTAGTTAGCCACAGCTACACTTGCTTTATCTCATATCTGTATGTTACCTATCTGAATAATATCTATCTATCTGTATATATATATAATTTATCTATATAGAGAGAGGAGAGAGAGATTTCCCCCCCCCCCAAATCTTTTGAAAGCTATGTACATAATTGACATTTAACCCTAAATATGTTAGCATACATGAAGGGTACTCCTAACTCAAGGAACCAAGGGAAACACAGGAAGACCCAGCTAGGGCAGGTTTAAAATCCTATGTCTCTTAAGTTGGGTGATCTTTTGCACAATCCACTCCAGTTCCATTTGAAGCTCCTTTGAGTTCTCTACCTGATCTTGTGCTCAAGGCTCTTTGAAGCAGTTTAGGATGCTATCAAGTACCAAAACAAAAGTGAAAAAGGAATGAATTATTGGTAGGATCTACTTGTGACTTCTGACCTCTGTTCCAGGTGAATCTCTCTGCCTCTTTATGGGCAGCAACTTGTAAGCCAAGGGTAAATACCCTTGAGGGCTGTGTGTCTGTGATTGGAGGGGGCAGCCTAGCTTACCCTCCCATGTGTCCGTGGCCTGGATGTGAAAATCTTCAACATCTAGTGGTGTAAAGAGGGCTGTCATAGGACAACTTTAGCTTTCATACTGTCCTACCAGAGAGCATAAATGGTGGTGATTCTAATTTTGGCAAGGGAGAGGAAATGTGTCCTCATGGGTGCATATCTGAAATAGTTCTAAAATAAAGACAAAAATTGAAGGTAACTAACTGCAATGTGGTATCCTGTATGTGATCCTGGAACAGAAAAAGCATAGTACTAGAAAAGCTAATGAAATCTGAATTAAGTCTGGACTTAGTTAATAGTAATTAATTGGTTAATAGTAACGTTCCAACTTTAATTTCCTAGTTTTGCTAAATATACCATGGTTATGTAAGATGTTAGTGTAAGGAGAAAATGTAAAATCATATACAGGAACTTTTTGCACCATCTTTGCAAGTTTTCTGTTGATCTAAAATTATTCCAAAGTATAAATTCTATTTAAATAAAAAGATAATGGACATCATTAGAAGGAGAATCCAGCCAAAATACTGGCTTTTTAAGATACATGATCTTTAGATGAAAATCAAAATAAGAATAAACAGTCATAAACAAAAATCACCTGTAATTCCTTGACCCACATATAATCACTGCCAACTTCTAGACTTTTTATCTCTGTAGATAGGTAGGTATAAGTTTAGAAAATAAAAGTGGAGTCACATTATAATACTGATTCCTTATCTCTTTTTTTGACTCTAATAACATTGTGATCAGCTTTCCATGCCAATAAAATATCTTTAAAAAAAAGATTTATTCATTTTTAGAGAGGGGAAAGGAGAGAAGGAACTATCAGTGTATGGTTGCCTCTTGAGCGCCCCGTGCTAGTGACCTGGCCTGCCACCCAGGCATGTGCCCTGCCTGGGAATCCAAACAGCGACCCATTGGTTCACAGGCCGGCTGGTGCTCAAGCCACCGAGCCACTCCAGCCAGGGCAAATATTTTTTTTTGTTTGTTTCTTATCCCTTAAATTAACCGATCCCATACTCTTGGGCATTTATATCATTTTCACTTTATAAACAATACCACATTGTATTGGTTAAAACTGTTATTAACAATTAATTATATCTTAGTTCTAAAAATGGAATTGCTGAGTCAGAGGGCCTGTTCATGGTTAAGTCTTTATTGTTCACTGGCCTTTCTGAAAGACTGTCCTGCCATCCAGTTTATAGCCATGTCTCTGAACTTTCCCAAACTCTGAGTTACCAGCTTCTGTATCTTTATGAACTGGAAGGACAAAATATCGGAGATATTTTTTATAATTTTTATTTTTATTTTCTTTTTCATTTCTTAAAACAATTTTTATTTATTTATTTTTAGAGAGAGGAGAAAGGAGGGAGGGAAACATCAATGCGTGGTTGCCTCTTGTGCGCCCTCTACTGGGCACCTGGCTCACAACCCAGACATGTGCCCTGACTGGGAATCGAACCGGAGACCATTGGGTTCACAGGCCGGCTCTCAATCCACTGAGCCACACCAGCTAGGGCTGTGTTTTTGTTTTTGTTTTTGTTTTATAATTGATTTCTAGGAGCACTCCATCTACCATTCTTGCTTTAGAGGCAGACCTGGATCACTAGGCCTTTCCTTAATTTATCTCATTTTCCCACTGCAGATCCTAAATCTGACTCAGGCCTTGAAAGACAACAAGAGTCCCCTGCACCTGGTCCAGATGCCACCTGTGATTGTTGAGACGGCCCGTTCCCACCAACGGTCTGCTAGCGAGTCCTACACACAGAGCTTTCAGAGTCGGAAGCCCTTCTTTTCGTGGTGGTAGCCCATGAGAAGACAGGGGCGTGTTGTGCGAGGCTTGGGCTGGGAGGAAGCCTGGGGAGCAGGTTGCAAGAAAAGCCAGAGAAGCCGATAGAGAGAAGCGCCCTTAAGAGCCCTCCCCTGCTGCTCACCACCCCCTCAGGGCTTTCCCATGCACAGGGAGAAGCGCAGAGAGAGGGGCAGTGAGTGCTGGTGGGCCCTCCTGGGTGCCGGGAAGGACTGAAGCTAATGCAAGGAGTCCAGGTGCCCGGGAGGGAGCATCTGTCTTCCAGCAACTCCTGCGGGCAGGCTGGGAAATTCCCTTTCCTCCCTGACATCTTGATCTGTTGCAATTCCTCATTATATTCTGCATCAGAAACAAACAACAAAAACATATTTAAATTATTAGCAAAACCCAGGCAGAATCCCACATCCTTTCATTGTCAGAAACCTCAAATCCAGACCTAGATTAGCATGAACCCAGATATTCAGGTGCCTCGCAGTTCCTTACTCCCGGGGACCAAGGCAGCTGGGTAACCCGCAGTGTTGGGGCAGGCAGAAGCCACAGTTATCTTTTGAGATTTCGCCAAGTCTTCTCCTCCCACCAGCGCAGTAGGCTGACTAAAAACCTTCAAATGTGATTCCCATGGCAGAAGTACTTTTGCTCTAGATCTCCTAGTAGCTCTGTGTATGATCCTATTGATCAGCTCTGCTCTGTGCTCTGCTAGGGAGCCAACTGCTCTAGTGCAGGCCTACAGTTTGCCTGTCTCTCAAGCAGAGGCAGGAGGGAGGATGTGGACTCCCCAGCATGTACAAGTGATTCATGTAGGCTGAATGTGTGCTGGGAGCTGTAATAGGTCTATGGGCAAACTTACCCCAGCCCTGCTCCCTGAGTCCCTGGCCCTACCCACAAATGATAGACTCCTCCCAGTCCTTTAATTTGTTTGTTATTTTAGATGTTTCTTTTCTCAACTCTTTGACTTAGGGGTTCAGTTGAGTTCTGGAGTGGGCCTCAGCTCATAAGAGGACAGGATATTAGGTCCTTGGACTTCTTTTTACGCTACCACTGCTGCTTGGTGGGGGTAACAGGACTTGTGTTCTGCCTCCTGATTGGTAGCTGCCTTTTGCTCCCTGACTTTTTTTGTTCCAGGCCAATTTTTCTATGGTTTCTTGAGAATGGTGGGGCCCAAAGGAGAGAGGCCTTCAAACTGTTCCCCAATGCCTGTCCAGCTCAGTGTGCTTCCTGCTTCCATGTATCTTGTCCTCAGCTATCCCCTCGCCAGCTGTCCAGACCCTTTCTACACCAAAGCAAAGGGGGGCCTCGAGAGGGAGCAAAGAGGATGCCATCTGTGGCTCCGGGACAGCCCGATGCTGCTGCACACTTTGTTGCTGGACCCCTGCGGATTGGTAAATCAGGCTTGGAAAGAAACTAGCTTGAAGGTTTGAAAAACAACCAAAGAATGGGAGCGCGGACGGTGGCTGTGTGCCCTCTGCTTGCCCAGCTCCCACCATCCAGGCGGCAAAGCAGTGATGTGCAGCCTCCTTGTCAGCTGGCCAGGCTGCCCCTTCTATTCCAGCTCCTAGGAGCCAGCTCCCCCCGGGCTTCCATCCAGCTGACAGGAAGAGTCTCTAAAAGCTGGATGTGCGTGCCCTGTGGATGAAGGCGCAACTCCCCTGCTGGCCCCAGCCCTGACAATCCGTCAGCCGACCTGGACACTAGCCTTGGGGACCATGTTTGTGAGAATGTGCTCTCAGACCGCAGGAGCAGCGCAGGCCTCCCAGGGGCCAGTAGGGGGCCCAGGTGTGTTTAGCTCTCCACAGACATCTTGGTATAAACGTGGTAAAGCTCCCTGCCTCGATGTCAGGGGAGCCTGAGGAGTCTAAAGAGCCTGGCGGCTGCCCCCAGCCAATCAGAGCTGCACATTGCCCTCGTCCAGACCAGCTCTGTGAGAAGGAAACTGGGTCCAGTGTAAGGGGACTGGTCCCAGTCCTGGCAGGCAAGAGAGTGGCGGTGGTGGGGGGATCCTTTCCTGGCCTCTGTCTGTTCTCCTTGGAGCCTGTACTCAGGTTGCCTTGAATGTGGACTTGGGTAGAGCCAGGAACCCTGAGTGCTTCTGGGTGGCACTCAAGGAATGGCCCAGCTCTCTGCCAGCCATAGGCCCTGTCCTCCAGTGTCAGGGAGTAGAGGCTGGGCTGTGAGAGTCCTGCTGCCTCTGTATTGTTCTAATGCACTGTAGAAATTGTATGTAATGTATTTAAATCAATGCAAATGTAAGAATAACAAGTCCAATTCTGACCTCTATTGTCTTGTCTTTTTTTTTTTTTTTTTTTTGGTGGAAGGAAGACAAGGTAGAATGTAATTTCAAGGACAGAAACTTGCATTTCCGTGCCTTGCAGAGACATGGCTCTTGGGTCTCTTTTCCTCTAGAAGGGGAAATACAGATCTTCATTTTCAAAGTCCCAGTGCTCTGAAAACCAAAAATATTTGCATAAGTTATTTGACACTAAAACTGAGCTGAACCTACACTGAAGCTATTTATAACCATCACCGTATCCCTTAGTGTCAATATTTGTTGCAGAAATAATTAATGTTTTGTTATGAGATAGTCCCCTACTATGGATCATACAGTGTGGATTATACAGTATACTATGGATTATACACTTACTACTTCCAAATGGCTGAAAAAATTGTGAATTCTGAAATGATCTAGCCCCGAGGATTTGGAATAAGGAATATGGACAGGCTTCCCTTGGCCTCGAGAGGGCAGCCCTGCTCTGCGTGTGCTTGGAGCACTTTGAACCCTGGCTCCTTTAAAGTGATGGATAATCAAAATAGTGATGATGATAATAATAAAGTGATGGATAATCAAGCAGATAGGATCGGTGAGAGGGGAGCTGAAGGCAAATGAGTGCATGGTGTGCTGCTTCTGAGGCTCCTCTCAAGGGTTTTTGGGCTATGGAAACCTCGGATAATGCAGAAGGCGCAAGGAGGGCTGGTCCAGCTGCTGACCCACTTCTGGATGGTTGGCCCATGGGGATGAAGGAGCCCAGCTGAGGAGCTGGCGCCCATTCCTATGACTTGGCTTACCGCCCACTCTGCAAGGCTGACTGTAACAGCCTTCCTTCTTCTAGAGCTGGCCAGGGGCCAAGAACCCTCTCCTGTGGATCAGGACTGATCGCAGAGATGCGTCCATCTCCCCATCTGACTGCCTCTGAAAAAGGAGGCTTCAGCACGGGGCCTCTACAGGATGGTGGGGGGGCAGGGAGTGAAGGAGGCCAGCCCTGTGTTCCTCTTCCTGGGAACAGGCACATACCTGCAATGAGCCCAACCCCTCTCCCACCCGCTCCAGAGTACCCATTTTGGGATCCTTTTCACACACTTTTCACTCACACACTTCTTGATGCAAATGTTTTTATTTTGCCACTTAAACCAGTTTTCTTGTGTGACCTGACAAGGGCAGGGGTATAGGACAGGCTGCCAGACCATCAGTCATTGTAGCAGGAAGGTTAGTAGCAGGAGTGGCGAGATGCTTAGTGTGAGAGCCCGTCACTTGACTCCTGGGGGAACGTCATGCAGTCCAAGTATAGTGTTAGATGGGGAAGGGTCAAGGCAAGAACAGTCGACGTTTTTCCTGGTGAGAAAGGGTCACACCCAATGTAGAGCTCAGTGGACACCTCCAGTCCTGTTCTGAATTGGGCAGGCCAGCAGCAGCGTGTGGGGCTGTCCCCCTCAAGTCTCTCTTCCTCCTTCACCTTCCCGGGCCCTTTGGCAAAAGTCCCTATGATTCCAGGGGAAGATACTGCTGTTCCCAGCCCCTTCCCTGGATCAGTGTCTGATCTGATGGAGGTAGCTTGTGGGGCCTGGCTTCCTCCAATTCCGACGAATCCTGGCACTTGTCCTTCTAGTGTTCAGATACTGATCGCTGGAAGCACTGCTCTGTGGGTCGGCCAGTGGATCACGGGGCTCTGGGATTCTGCAGGAAACAAGTGTATGATAGGTCAGCATCAACAAGGAGGACAGAATAGGGACTAAGGGTTTTGATCATGCGAACTATTAAAGGACTAGGACAAAATGGGACCAGGGCTCTGGTCTTGGCTCTGCCCCCAGAGAGCTACATGGCAAGGCAAAAGCTTTCAGATTTCTACGAAGAGAGTTGGACTAGATTAGGGTGTGTGACACTCAACATTTCTCCAACTTCTGCAGCCTGCACTCATGGCAGATATTAATAAGTCATATAAGTATCCCTACCAAGGTATCTTAAGTAGGGATTACTAGCCAGTTGGAATTAATATGGACCTGATGATCTCAGAAGGCTTGCTAAGGTCTAATGTTCTGATTGTGGGCCCCAGAGAAGGAATGAAGCCAGTATGTACCCACAGCAGTCAGACCATGTGGTTCAGCTTGATCTTGGGGTGGGGAGGAGTCCCTGTTCCTGGGCTGGCAGTAACCTAAGCAAAGAGGTGGATGATCCAGGCAAGTTAAGGGTGAAGTTCCTCAGTTTTAACCTTTGATGTCTACAGTACTTTCCTATGCCCCTTGAGGAGTGCTAATTCTCTAATCACACAGCCAAGATTCTTACCAGGCTAACTTTTGAATGTTACTTTCTCTTTCATAGGTAAACAGGATATTTTTATCTTCCAAACACTAGTCCCTCCTACCTGTTAAGAATCACTGTGAAATGGCGTGGCACTGATAGGACCCTGGCACCCCGTCCCATGGGAGTTCACAGGGTCATCTATGAGTCCAATACAACAGCAACTTTTAAAGTGCCACCATGTGGCAGGCACTGTGTAGACCTTATGACAACCTCAATGGTAGGCACTTTACAGCGAGGCCAGGTCAGCAGCTCCAGGTCCCGCAGCCAGGAAACGGGGGGACGGTGTCACGAGCACTCTCCCTCCCTCAGCCCTCCAGCCCCAGGGCCCTACCTGAGCCGGCTGCAGTGGTGTAGCGAGTGGCCCAGGGGTTTCAGCCTCGGGGGCCTCTTCCTGCGCAGCCTCCTCAAGGCCTCTGCCATACGAGGGTCCCCCGCACACTCCCAGATGATCTGTGCCCGTTCCTCGGCCAGCTGGTCCCCGCTGCGCTGAAACAGGCTCTGGATCTGCAGCAGCTCGGCGTCCTGGAAGATGTTGGCTGACGCCTGCTTGCGGCCCCGGGCCTCAGTCGGGGCCTGCCAGGGGAGCGGCTCGCTCACCACAGAGGCTGGGGTGCCCATCCTGCGTGCTCTGGGGAAGGAAAGATGGACAGACGTCAGCAGCTCTGGAGGCCCTTCCCAAACCTGGGCGTCCTGACTAATGCAAGGACTTCTGGTGCTGCTCTTCTTCAGGGCCAAGGAGGAGTAAGTCTTGACTTAAAATCACTCTAATTTCCCAGGGCACCTTGAGGAAATAATAATGATAGCCACACTTTATGATAGAGTGCGTGTGTGTCTGACACATGTGTTAACTTACGAGTCACAGAAACCTGAGGTACAACTTGTGCATCCCCACTTTACAGGCGAAGGAGTGCGACCCAGAGGTTCGATGGCTTTCCCACAGTCCAAAGTCCTGTGTGAGTGCAGAGCCAGGAGAATCGGGTCTGTGTGGCCCTAGAGTCCAGGCAGACCCTGGGATACCCAAGTCCAATGTGGTGAGCACCTACAGTGTGTCAGGCGCCACCGGGAGCTGTATTCTCCCCACACTGTTGAAACGTGAGCACAGCAGCCCTGTGAGGTGCTTTCATCCTCCTCACCTCACAGATGAGAAAACCGAGTAACAGAAGCCAGATTTCTGACTCTTGAGGCCCGGGTTCCCACGGCACAAAAGTAAAAGAGGGGTTGTGGAGTTGGCCACTTGGGTTGGAATCCTGGGCTGCCTCCACCACTCAGTGGTTGGTGACCACACCGCATCCACTGCCTGTGTAAGCATGTTAGCTTTGCAGGGCTGCTGTGAGGACTGAGTGCAGACTCGGTGCTCAATGTCCTATTCTGCTTTTTCATCCATAAGATGGCGTATGAGTCACCCCACCTTCTAGCTGCAAGACCCTGGGGATGACCAAGTCCATACAAGGTGGAGCAAAGGTAGGCTTATAGTTGCTTGTATGGGAAATACTACTACAAGAATAAACTCTGTTTAATGTACTCACAACTATAAAGCTACTTTTGCCCTACCCTGTATAAGTTAGCAAACAGTTATGAAATACACCAATCAGATCTAACTACAGTCCAAAGGACCACAGAAAGGGGCAGAAGAGGCTACATACAGGGTTAAAGTACTCTTATCAGGGCAGAGGCTGAAATTTACATGAAAATTCAATAAAGGTTAGGCTCATCTCGATGCCCCACTCCCATATCCAGGAAATGAAAATTAAACCATCTCTGTCAGTTCTAGACAGTTCATGTCGAATAATAAACTCTCCAGAGTGTTTGAGCCATCTCTTCATCCCGTTCTGACTTCGCACAGAATGACTACCCCTCCCTAACTCTGGCCTCTCCTCCTCCTCACCTCAATAGCCACCCTCCTCATTTCAGTAATTTCTACACGCTTCTGTCCCAGTTTCTAGGCCTTCTATCATAACAACTCACTCTTTTTTCAAAAGATTTAATAACTAAAGCCTGCAGAAAAGTTTCAGATAAATTACCTTCATAAAAATTGTACTTTTTATGAGGAAAATGGGAATTTTAAAACCTCCCGCACTATTTTAGGACACAGGTAAAACCTAACATGTGTGGTAATTAAACCCTCAAAGCTGAATGATATAAATATACTATGACCAGAAAACAATAGTCACCAAGTAACACTTTCAGGCTGATAAAGAGAAATCAAAGCTAACTACGGGGCATGTATTCTGTATCAGGCAATATGCATGATATCATTTCATCCTCAAAAGAATTCTAGGAACCAGGCACTGTTATCGTGACCCCAGTTCACCAGGGAGCAAAGGGAAGCTAAGATACAGACGTAAGTACCTGGGGCTCAGCCAAGGCCAAAACCTAGTCTGACTACGGCCCAGGCTTCTAAACAACCAAACTGTCTCCACAGCCAAGAAGCTCAAAGCCCATTTCTTCCCCTGATTTCTGTGAGGAGTGCTGATTCACAAAGGGGAAAACCCACCAGTATTAGGGAAGGAACACTGAATATCCCGCAGTGGAGGCAGGGGTGGGGTGTGGAATTTATTTTAATCTTTTCACTAATGTCAGGGCTGTTCCCTGGGTGACGGGCTCCCCCAGTTCTGAACTCGAGGCAGGCCGAAGAGGAAGAGCCCCAGCTTCCTCAGAAGAAATCTGGAACTACGACCCAACCCAGGGCACAGGGCACTGACTTATGAATCGGAGACCTTGGGTTTGAGCCCCAGTTCTGCCACTCAGTGGGCTTGTTTTCCTCTTACATCTGTAAGAAGAACAGGTTGATGCTGATGGTTTCTGAGGGCCTGTCCCAGTGTTGAGAGTCAACGATTCCATGATAAGGCTAGGTCTGAACGAATAAGAGATGGTTTGCTTGTCTGCAAGAGCCTAGGAGCAACGTGTGTGGACAGGTCTGGCTAATTAGGTGTCAGAAGACACCTCATCCAGTAGCTCGTCTTCTCAATTTCCCCTGGAGACAAGACACTGCTTTGCTGCTGTGGGCTGTGGGGTTAGGGTCTTGTAGGAGACAGAGTTTACTGCTCTAAAGCACTCCAGTGACCTAGGCTGCCTATGGCCAAGCCTGGGGCAGACTCCTAGGGGGGTCTGGCTGGTGGGAGAAGGGGTGACATCCCCCTTCTCAAACTCAATCTCACTCTCCCTTTGAGAGAATGGCAAGAGGATCCAATAGCAACAGCTGCCCCAGGGAGGAAATGGCTTGGAGCCTGACTTCCCAGATAGTCCCAGCTGACTCTCCCAGGGCCGCAAAGGCCCTGCAAGGCCAGACCTGCAGCTGCGCAGTTAGAGAGTTAGTTATAAATGCACCAATGAGAAACCACCTGGGAGAGTCTGAGCCTTCAGCTATACCCTTTATGAGCCTCAGGGTGGGTGGGGGGTAGCACGTCCAGATTTTGAAGCACCTCCTCTTGTTTCTGCCTCCCACCCTGAGGTTCAGACAGCAGATTGAAGATAATAAAAATCAGCCATATCAGGTAGGATTAGACTTTAAACTTGGGGAAAACTGAATCAGAACACTTTTATTATCAGAACAAATCTCCTGTCTCTTCAATGTGTTCAATAGTTACTTTCCCCCTCATTTCCTGGACAAGACTTGAATCTAGGGAAGTTGGTATTACTTGAACAATGGTACTTTTTAAACTGGAAGATGAAACCACAGGGCTATTAAAAGATTACAAGTGAATCTTCCATTTCAGAACTGACAAAAAATATAAGCATGTGTCTGTGAGCAAAGTAAAGACTAATTGCAAAATCAATTCGACATGAACTCGGTTAAAAATGAACTCCCCCAAGTAAATACCAAATGTCCAAAGTGACAAAGTTCAGTTTTGAAACAGGCAATAAAGGAACTATAGCATTCTAACAAAGAAATATATTTAAAAAGTAACTCACCATGCAGTGAATTTGCAATTTATAAATATGGTGCACAACTGAGCAAGCTTTGTAATGTATGGAGCTCCATTAAGACACCTATTTATGCTCACTGTGCTCTCAGGGAGGTGTAAGTAACCATGAGAGGCAGAACATACTTGTGTGAGCTACACAGCAACTGGCTCCTTACTTGGCTCACCACTTTTAGATAACCCTGTTGGTGGTAATAATCTGTAATCGGAGGCCAAGGGCCTCTTAGAAAAAGAACTGGAGGCTCTGGCCCAAGGCCCAAATCAACACTTGTGGCCCTGGCCTGGTTCCCTGCACAGACATGCCACTGGACAGCAGCCAAAATCTGTGAATCCTCAAATGGGAGGCCCAGTGCAAAGGGACGCATGTCCCACCCCCACCCGGAAGGGCCCAGCCTCAGCCAGGCATGCCTGCGAGACCTGGACATACGTTGGTTTCCAAATCTGTGTCCCAGGAAGTGGAGAAAGGAACTGGGCCCTTTCCTCAGACCAATTCTCAGACATGACTGGGAAAAAAGGTCCTACTGGATCCAGGCATAACTCTTTTCAAAGGTTCAAGAACTCTGAATTCTGGCTGTGCCGCTGATAGCTGGGTGATCTTGGCAAGCCCCAGTTTTCCCCTGCCTCAATTTTGCTCATTGTCAGAATGGTGAGAATAAATAGCCCTTAAGGAGATAAGGGAAATAAAGTATACTGGAAGCATCCATCCCAAATGCATTTCTTTATGATTTCATGGTATAAGGGAAAGGCTGTTTAACCACCCATTTTTTTTTTTTTTTTGTCATCACCACTATCATGACACTCCCTCAAAAGAAGCGTTCACTCTTCAGAGAAGAGGGTGAAGGGAGATGGAGTCCTCTTGGGACTTATAAATCATCGCTGCCATTGAGGCACCTTTCTCCGAGTCAAGAACAGTACAGCACTTTCAGAGGGATAATCTCTTTAATCCTTATGACATCTCTATGAGGAGGTACTATGATACACCCATTCTACCGATCAGAAAGCTAAGCTCCGGAAGGTCAAGGAACTTGCCCAAAGTTACACAGGTAGCAGGTGATAAGGCTAGGATATGAAAACCCAGGTAGTTTAACCCCAGCGTCCGCGCTCTCTACCACTGTTATTTTTGTTCCCGCCAGATGGCTGCCGAGGTCTTCAGAAGAAGGACCCAGGAGGCTCTGAAACCTCTGGGAGCCTGCTATCTGTTTCTGCAGGTTTTAGAAGGTACAGGGGTCGAAAGTCAGGTCTGCCCAGCCAGCCTCTCTGCCATCTGCACTCCATGGCCCCACCGGTAATTAGAACGATTACTCACCACGAGGAAGGGCTCCGCCGACAGACCTCAAATCGGGATGGGGCAGGCTAAGATGCACCTACCAGCCCCTACCCCTACCCGGCCTTTCGAAAGGGCGGGCGCAGCTCTGGGCTTGCTTCTGCCGCGAAGGCGTTCGCAAGGACTAGGCGGCGTTCACCGACAGGATGAGAGCTTGGGAAGGGGTATCCTGGCCGAGATCACAAGGCGACATCCCCAGCACAAGTCGGACCCAGGGGCTCAGACGTGACGCTGTGCACAACAACGGGCCCTAGATGAATTTGGGGGTTCGGGTCCCGGTGGCACCCCACCTCTGATAGCTCGCCCTCCCGTCCGCTCCCAGCGCAGCAGGAGCTGGGTCGCGGACCTACGTACCTGGCTACCCGGGGCCGGCCACCTTGGTCACAGCCGCTGCTCCCCGGAGAAAGCGCTCCCCAGCACAGGAACAGCCAATCCTCAGCCGAGCTCTGATGTGAGCTCCAAAACGAGCCTTCCAAAATCGAACGCGGAGACTCCGTGGGCCAATCAGCGACCACAGAGAGCGAGGGGCGTGTTATGGCTCCTCCCTCTTCCCTCCGCCGGCCTCGAAACCCGAGTGCGAAGGTTCCCCGGTCCAATCAGCGGTGGAGCAGTGATGAGAGGCGTGTCCGTCCGGGTTCCTTCCCTGAGCCCCCGGCTGCCCTCCCGCTAGGAGGTGCCTCGCCTTCATTGACGTCAGTCCCCAGGGTGTACGCGGTTTTGCTGGCGTGGGGCTGGGGCGAGGCTGCATTCCTGCCCTGGGGTGCGGCAGCGGCTGGCCTTGCAGCATACACGTGATGGGTGCCCGGTTCCCTGGGCCCGAGGCCTGTGCACCCCGTGCCGGTTCCTTGCAGCTTGCGGCCCTCCGCAAGCCGACCTGCATCTCCTTAAAGTCACTTCCCGGAGGATTTATGTTCTGGCTCTAGATTTGGGGGAAAGAAAGGGACAGTCAGTGCGGTGCTCAAACCTTGGGCTTCAAAGCCAGAATGTCTTGATTCGAATCTTGGATCAGCTGTGCAACTTTGGGCCAGTTACCTAAATCAGACTATTAAAAAGGTTCTGTTTTTTTGTTTTTTGTTTTTTTCATTCACTTGGCAGTGGTCCACTAGAGACCCACCCTGTGCGAGCTTCTTGATAGGCAGTGAACAGGAAACACCTACAAGGTTTTCCCTGGGGAAGTTTACGGCTTAGTGGAAGGCAAATATTAAGAAGCCTAGGAACTTCCGGACTGGTGAACACGCGGAGGTGCTGGGAGAGTGGAGTGCTTGAGAGGGAATGGAAGCTGGGCCCTGTTTTCCCTTGCCTTGCCCTATATAGCTCTGCCATCTGGCTGCTCCTGGATTATATTCTTTTATAATAAACTGGTGATCTAGTAAAAACAACAAAAACAAAAACAAAAACAGCAAAAAAACAAAACCCTAAAACATTTCGTTGTGATTACAATTGTGATAAACACTATAGCTATAAGAGGGTAAAAACAGAGGAAACTAAGCATTCTCTGGGAGCTCCTTGAAGGCAGAAGTAACATTTAAGCTGAAATATGAAGTTGGTCACATGAAGAATGGGTGTGGGAAGAGTGTTTAGAGAACAGGCCATAGCCAACATGACCTGGTTGGTTGGAGACGTCATCCAGTAAGCCAAAAGGTCATATGTTCCCCACTGGGGCAGATGCTTAGGTTCTGGTTCTGGTTGGGGTGTTTAGGAGAGGCAACCAATCCATGTTTCTCTTCCTCCCTCTCTCCCTCCCTTCCCCTCTCCCTAAAATCAATAAGCATGTCCTTGAATGACAATAAAAAAAGAAAGAGAAGGAAGGAAGGGAGGAAGGAAGGAAGGAAGGAAGGAAGGAAGGAAGGAAGGAAGGAAGGAAGGAAGGAAGGGCGGGCGAGCTAAGGCCAGCAGGTGACTTGATTAAAGAAGACTTGAAATGAGGCCTGGAGTTAAGGCTGGCAAAGGAGAAAGAGTGGCAAGGAACCAACCAGAAGGCCGAGGCAGGTGGTGAAGAATTTTCCATTTCTTCTGGTGATCCTCTGAGGGGAATAGAATTATATGTATTTATTTCACAGACATTTAATAGCACTTACTATGTGCAAATAATGCCAGTCAGCACCTTGCAAACATTACCATTTCATCACATTTGTGTTTTTAGAATGCCACTTTGGTGAGAGGTTGGATTTGAGGTAGCAAGAGAGGATGCAGGTTATCCAGTGTGGCTCTTGATAAATACTTGTTTACTTCTTGGAAGATGAGGGGCTGTTTGTGCACTGGTTCTAAAATGGTCAGGGAGGGTGTCTCGGAATAGGCAGCTAGGTCTCCCTGACTTCGTTTTCACTACAGAGCTGACCTTCACATTCATTTGATTTTTCTTCTGTAAAAGATCCAAGAGGAAAAGAGTAGGAGCCGACACACCAGGATTTGTGGATCCCTTTTTGCAAGGTGGAAGGGATGTTTGGGAGCTGTTCTTCCTTATCCCTGTTTCCGGTTCCTTTTTGTCCTGCACAGAAACCACATCAGCAAGTGCATTGCTATAGTTCAAAGAGTTTAAACAGTGGTCTCTCTTTGCTTTTCCTGAAGCCCTGGGGAAATATTGAAAAGAGCAAAGAAATCAGCAATATTCTTCTCCAATAGAATGTAGTGCAGCAAACTCTATCAGCCAACTGCTTGGCTAAGAAGGGAACTGTGCAGACTCATAAACTGGGAGGCTGGGCTTCTGAATCAGGGACTCCGCCTACCCCATTCTAAGCAATAGGAAGGCCAAACTCTTGGCAAATCAGTGCTTGGAGAGCCTAGGAATTCTGACTCAATGAGCTCAGAAGAGCATACCAGCATAGGAATTGGGAACTTACGGTTTCTGGGTCATACGTGACTAAGGCTGGGTGGAGAATATCTGATGTCTCCAAACATTTTTGCAGGCACGGGACCATGTACTTACCATACAATGGAACCATTTCTGTTGTTACAGCTTTATGGTTCAGTATTTCTGATGAGAAGATGGGGCACTTCCACAGTTGTGTGGGCCTTGCAGGAGATGGGGATCTGGGATCCACCCTCTAACAGGCCCTTTTTAGAGAAGATCAACTCTAGGGATAGAGCCCTGGAGTAATTCAAGCCAAGACTTGGTTTTACTAGCAATCGAGTTAAGGTGAGGTGAATGAGAAACACTCCTTGGGCACAAAGGAGACCCCTCCCCGCAAAAAAACCCCTCAATAATCAAATCAATATTTTAAAGTAATATTTTTGAAAATAAAAATGAATGCAAAACATCCACAGTGAACTAAATATCAACATTTAAAATAAAGACAGGCTGTTGTTAGTTTTATGAGTCTGCGTCATTTTGCAACGGAAGCAGTCATTTCTAATGAGCTCATGGTTCCCACGCAGGTCACCGTGGAGTTTCTCGTCAGGTCGCTTCATGAGTGTTGACAATAGTGTGGGAACATATTGGGCAACACAAAGCTTTATATATGGTCATGTTTTTAATTTTAGAGCTTTCATCCTCTTTTCCTATTTGGTTCAAAATATGAAGGATACTTTGATAAGTACATACAGAAGCTCACATTTCTCATTTTGCCACAAGCTATTGGTAGCTAAGCAAGGTGCTGGTTTTTAGGGGGGTAGAGCCTAGGATAGGGGTCTAGCTGTTCACCCTTAAGCAAATTACTTAAACTCTGCCTCTCTATTGTCTCATCTATAAAATGGGATAATCACACCCACTTCTCAGTGTTGCTGTGAGGATGAATGAGGTGCTGGGAGCACGGTACCTACTTAATCTACACCTTGCTACAGACGCTAGGCCAGCATTCCACGCCCTTCCTCTCGACCCTGCCTAAGTTGTCCAGGTAGCTGGACAGTTACAAATGGTCCCCCAGTGGGGCTGAGATTTGTTCCCTTGGGTTTGTTGTTGCCATCTGTCCATTTCTAGGGAGAGGAGAGGGAACTTTCACACTCAGCTGAAAAACAACAGTGTGACTTTTGAGTCAGCTCTGCTTTTCTTGATAAATGATCCTGGCTATTCTAAACTTTTTTTTTTTAAGTTCTCTTCTGCTTAGGACATTACACGTAGCAATTTACTACAGCCCTCTTCTCTGCACTTGCAGCCTGAACAGGCCCAAAATAGCAAAGTCCTACAGGCAAAGGGTACATGATAGAAACCCTAAAAGCAAACAAACAAAAATACCAATCATGTATATTAAAGGTCAGTTTTGTATTAGTCAGCTTGGGCTGCCATTACAAAATACCACAGACTGGGTGGCTTAGCAAGAGAAACGTATTTCCTCACAGTTCAGGAGGCTGGAAAGGCCAAGATCAAGGTGCCAACCCATTTGGTTTCTGGTGAGAGTTCTCTTTCTGACTTACAGGCAGCCGCACGCTCACTGCATCCTCACGCAATAGAGAACTCTCTGGTGTCTCTTCTTATAAGTACACAAATCCTGTCAGATCAGGGCTCCACCCTGTGGACTCTCTCATTTAATCTTACTTACTTTCTTAACCCAAATACAGTCACATTGGAAGTTAGAGCTTCAACATATGAATTTTGAGGGAACACAATTCAGTTCTTAAAAAGTATGAACTCATGGTATTTAATATATAGATAAGTAAATATAGAAATAAATCTAGCTATAAATGTATATATGTTTGTGTATGTAAATGTATATATGTGTATACACACGAACACACACAAGCACACACATTCTCCAGCTGTGTCTGCTGAGAGAGCCTAGAAGCAGTGACGCTCCAAAAGGAATAAGCACATTTAGCGCCCAGGTACTGATTTTTCACTACCATTCTCCACAAAAGGAACCACAGCTTCTTGGAGAAATAATTGACTCTACTACTCGGCTGAGAAAGTTCAAGATGGTCCCAGAACATCTTGTGCCACAGTGTAGGGAAGTGCTCAAAGAGTGATGGGAACTCATCAAAAAGACTAGGAGTTGGTTTATAAGGGCTCCCATTAGTTAACTGCAATCGGAGTCAACTGCGACTCCAAAAAATAAAATATGACAGTAACATATTATAACCCAATGAGTAAAATAAGAATATATCAGTCCATAGTAATATAAACAAACAAACAAACAAAAGAGACAAGAAAGGCTTTCCTTAGAGTAGAATCCCAACTAATAAACGGAGGAGTGAGACAGTTAGAAAACCACTAGTGACTGCTAAAACAGCTTTGGGACCATTATAAAAACAGGAGTTGTGGTAGTTTTGCATATTTTTTTCTCTGTTTGTTATGTATACATGGTATTTTTGTATACACTAAACTTTTTCTCTTTCTTTCCTCTTTAGTTTTGTATGTAAATTTTGGAAAGTTAATGTTACATCTTAGTCTTCAGGTCAGAGAACAGTCCATGGGACTATGTCAAAATCTGAGAAGTGTTTGTTTGTTTGTTTGTTTGTTTTAGGATTTTATCCGGAGAGAGGGAAAAGGAGGGAGAAAAAGAGGGAGAGAAACATC